TTTAATGTGTCTAACATGAAAATAATCTCTTGAAAACCTTTTTATTGAACAAGATTTTATAAGAAAAACTTGCCTCTTTTTTTCAATGATCGCACGTCCTAATGAACATATCATAACCATATATTGATATATTAAAGTGTTCGCTTTAGTATTTTGTAGACTAGGGTTGTAAGTTTTGATGCAAATCTAATAGTGCTTTAGTAGTTAGGAGTAATTTTGAGTGATATGCCACACCTCACTCTAAAGTCTAATACAATGTATACTCACTCCTATACTCACTCCTACTATCCAGTATTTGTCCGTCTATCCATCTACGTTGTATTCAATGAGTTTAATGCTAATGATAAGGTTCTTATTTGGTGATGTAAATGTTAAATGAGGGCAATGTTAAATGATTTTATACAAAAAAAAAAAATTTTCAAAATTTAATTTAACATTTCTGAAAATGGCCCATAATGATTTCATTTTGGGAGTTGCTTCTCCATGGAGTTGTCATTTTATAGTGTTTTTTGCTTATTGTTTTTATATATATGTCACCACCTCAAGTGGTGACATTGTTATAGTCTCCGTCTTTTGTGTTCGACAGTTGCAAATCATCTGTAACAAATGGCAAGTGGTTATATTTTGCATGTTAATGCCTTGTTAAAATGAAATATAAAAGCCAGGCATTTTAGTAGCAGATAGAATAACTCTCAATGCAGACTGACTCATTGACCAATGCTAAGACCATTCATGAATATCTTGTTATTTATAAACCAGAACAGAGGCTGTTATGTGAATGCTTAAGTATGAATTCATACTTTCCTTTTCTGGAAGTCTTATATTACGTATCGAGTCCCCCTCCCATATGGCTGTTTTTTTCAACCAAAGTGACGTTTCAGAGAGGGTGTGATTTATTTTACGAATGACCTAAAGATCAATGGTAGTCTTTCAATTTATATGTCACTTAATATAAAACTATATCATAAATGAAGAAGAGTGTTTTCACTATTATGAAACATCTGACTTCTGGAGCGTTTTCTTTTGTTAATCTGCCTTTTTACACATACTGCAGTTTGATTTATATTTTTGTCTTGCACCTGATACCCCCTCCCATCCTTCAGTGTCCATAATGCTCCAATCATGTTCCCGTTTAAGATTTCACACATGTAGTATACTCATGAGTATAACCTAGAAATAAGCCCCAGGCTTAATATTAAGATTTATATTTGGTGCCAGACTAATTTAATTCATTTTTTGGATTTGAACTATTGTGAGAGATATAACCTGTACGATATGTTAGGGTTTATCATACATTTGGCATAAGTTCAGCTTATGAGATAGTGCTAATCAATTGTACTGCACTGATGTATGCTTACAGTCAGAATGTAGATGTATTTATCCATGTCCTATGTTGAACATGTCCGTCTGCTTCGGTTTATTCCTTCAAATTCTCCTTAAAATTTGGATGAACTGTTTGATTTTCTTGCATTTTTATACAATTTAGAGTCTTATCCATAAGGATATATAATTTATTTCATGTTTATTTCCCTCTTTATCATGCTATTTTTAGTTTGAAAACATGACCGTGTTGAGATTATAGTTTTGGGTGAGCGAGGGCTCAATGCAGAATTCGCTTCCAACTTTCTATTTCTGTTCTCAACTACTCTACTTGCCTACTTTCTTACAGCTTCACATGTTCCGTGTTTACTTCCTTCTCTACATGTATGAATCATTATGTTAATTTTTGACATACTGGCTTTATATGCTATCACATCTCTTGCATTTTAATCTTCTAGCAAGTCTCTCTGTGATTGTGTAACATGGGGGTAAGGGGGAGGGTTGTACCATTTATTGAAATTTCTATATACTGTTGTAAAACCTGTTTATAGTAAATTCAGAAGGTTTTATAGACAACGTTTTCATTTTGAGATGTGTTCATATAAACAATGAGACAAAAGGAGGTTCCAAAATGAAGCACTTCATTGTAAGATGTTCATTTTAGATTACTGGGGATAGATAATATACAGGACAGGTACATTCATATATTCCAATTAGAGTAAAACTTGTATGTCTGAACACCTCTATAATCCAAACACATCTCAATTTGAACACTTTCTTCCAGTCCCAATCTCCCATTATAATCCATTGGCCCCTTGTTAAAGAATGTGAACACAAACACTTATGGATTGGCCAGTCCCACTAGCATTTGGATTAAGAAGGTTTCACTGTAATATGTCTTTATTGGCATGTTAGTCTATAGAACATCAAAAATTAGACGGAAAAACCAAAGGCTTTGTTTTTCAAATTTCTGCCTATAGATTATCATATCATGTATATAAATACTATAGCTACTATCTGTATTTACAACTGTACAATAGTTGTTGTTTTGACTTCTGCAGTCCATATTGAAGTTGAGAAAAATTCACATCATAAAACATCATGTCATTTTACTAAAGATAGATAAGTCCAGACTTTACTACAGTTGTAAAATATTAAGGACTGACCACAACATTTCAAGTAACAAGAGCATGAAATGATATGTGTAGTATACCCAATCATTAGTATACCCAAGACCTAATGTCATGGTGGTCACATTTTGCAATGTGAAATTAACTGAAAAAGAGCGGAATTTGTGAGGAAAATGTTAAACGGATGAGAAGAAAACATTTTAAATTCTATAGAAATGTGAAAACATGAGACACTTTAATCAAATTTTCTTTATAAAAAGGATAAAATAAAACTGATCAGACGACATTTTGAAGACCAGCAATCTTGCAAAGTGAGGACCTTGCCTACTTGAAAGATAGATAACACCTTGCTAGATAATTGACGTTGGAGTGGTCACTATTTTTCTTGAGAAAACTTTTAATAATTTGTCATATTAATAGTTTATCATCACTGCATCCAGAATGAGGGGTATTTCTCATTCTTGGATTATAAAATAAAACAATTATAAAACTCATGTTTTTATAGATAAATGGTGATGATATGATTTGATTTAAACAGTAACATTATATTTAACAAGATGGTATACTTAGGTCAGCATAACAACACTGACCCTACTTCACCATGGTTCATTATCCATCTTGAAAATGTCAATTATCTGTTGTAGTTTTGCTTTTATTTAAGTTTGGATTCACATGTTTTTATGCTAATTAGACCTAATCAGGTGCATTGTATATCTATTGTGCTTTGACAAAATAAATTCAGGACAATCCTTTGTTATCTATCCTTAAAAATTACAGATTAAATGTAGTTATATATGAAATTGAAGAGTTTATATCTATTTCTATTATTGAAAATTAGATTTAATTCAGTAGACTTATAAAAGATTGTTGAGTCAAATCTGTAAGTTTTACTATTGAACTGTATATCATAGGGAGAGTTGAAGGGGTATTTTTAATTTCTAGCGGATTTTTGTTCATATGGGTACAAAAGCTCATATCCTGGAGGTTCAACCGAGCTGGGAAAGGAGGGAGGGGGTCAAGTGAGTTTACTATGTGTATTCAATAAATAAGATGAAAAGTGAAACACATATTATAAACACCTGGAATAAACACATGTATTATTTAGTCCCATTTAGTCATATCAATGTCGTATTGACCCCCTTGTGATTATTAAGATAACCACTTCAAAATGTGAATACCATACTATCAACCAGCCCCATTAGTGTTCACTTTGGATAGGTGTTACTTGATTAATTCTCTTTATTTCAAGCAACTGTTCAGTGGGTGTCGTAGGTATTTCCTGTTTGCAAAGTTGAAATAAGATATTTTCCTTTACTTGTAACAGATTAATAGATTTATCTAATGATACACTAGACATATGAGAGAAATGGCGGCATTTTTTTAAACATATTTTTTATAGTTTCTGTTAAAGAATTAAATTTTTGTCATTCGCCTAGTTTTTTTAGTCATGATTCTGAAATGCATTGTCAGACTTTCTTATTTTTACTTCTTTTTTCAAAAATCTTCCTGACTCAGAAGAAATTCAAGGTTTTCTATTTTGTGTATACAGTATAAGGAAGTGAGTGCAAAATTATCATTTGTAGTAAGACAACCAAGTAACAAGTGATGATAGAATTCTTTTTGCCAATTTATTCTCTAATTTTTAACAAGTTGAATTATTGTGGAATCTTGATATAAAACATGTATAAATTAATTTTGGATGTTTCTTATGTTAGTTAAGAGGTTAAAATCTCATTAGGTTTTGTCCAGGGGCTTCTTGATCTGGCCAACATATGATGCTTTCTCTCTGTCAGAGGTATCATCAGGCTCCTTTTCTGTGGAAGTTTCTAATGTATTGTTGGTTTGGTCTCATTATGTAGGGCTAATGGCATTCAGGTATGTTGTGGCAAATAGAGCCGGTTCTGGCATCAGTCAGAGGAGGTACAAGCTGACTCCCAGAACTATTTTGCTAATGATTAAAGGAGGTATCTAAAAGTTCCCAGAATTCTGTGGTCAGACAAATGATTTGACCAGATTGTCATTGAAGTGTAGCATTGCAAAGGGGCTGACCTAAGAAAGTCAAACATTTATTTTGATGTATCCGCTTTTTGAAATTAGGCTTAGCCTAAAAAGTTTAGATTCCTGTATGCCTTAGATTATTCAATACTTCAATATGTTAAAAGCCTTTTTACCAGGAATTTTTTTCCCAACTGGCTGCAGTGTTATTTGTAGACTTTAAAATCCATTTTGATACCCATCTCATGTCTTCCTGTTTTAGGACAAGCATATTTGAAAGAAAACTCAGATAGAATGCCATCATTTTGCACAATAGAGACATATTCCAAGTTAGCATTGTCCAAACCAAGATCATGAGATACCTTTTTTAAATTTTCTGAATTCTTAACTGATTTCTAGGGGTATATGGTACATTTCAAATTCTCAACAGTATATATCATACTTGGTTGGAAGGTCAACGTTGTGAGAATATGATATTCGAACATTGTCTAAGATGAGCTATACTATTTTTGGAGTTTGACTTCTTGTTTAATGATAATTTTCTTCTGTTTCCAGGCATGTATAGATGATAATATAGCTATTGTGGAATTTCTGGTTGAGAATGGTGCAGACATCAATGTATGTGACAATGAAGGTTGGACTCCTCTCCATGCAACAGCCTCATGTGGCTTCCTGGACATTGCTGAGTAAGTACTACATTGCTTCTTTTCCTTCCCTGAGTGTTCAAGCCTATTACATCAGGTGTTGATGAAGCTGTCTTTTAAGGAAGCAAAGTCAAGCTATTGGAGAGGGCATTATTTTCTAGTAGTCATATTTCAAGTTACTTCTGATCCCCTCTCCCTATACCTACACCCAGCACCTCCCCATATTGCTAAAGGTTGAAGACTACTTGTTTGGGGCAACATGAGGCTACAGTGAAACTTACATATCCAAAAACCTCTTTTATCCGAACACCTCTCAATGTGAACACTTTTTTTTGGTCCCAGTTTTTTATTTCTCATTGACTCATATGTGTGTAATACCTTGAAATCTGAACACTTGCTGATCTTAACATTTTTGGCTGGTCCCAAAGATGTTTGGATTAGACAGGTTTTACTGTATGTAGTTAAACATACTCTGGACTGGGAGTTAATGCAACCTTTTCATCTGAAGATTGGAAATGTAATTTTGTAGTAAGGAAAAAATCGTGTTCTGTGCGATAAAATTATAATTACATTAATGCTGAAGTGAACATTTTGAGCATAAAATAATTATCAATTGATAAATTGCAGGGTTAACATTGTGAATATCAACCCCTCATAGTATTGAAACTATTGTTATCACCTTCATGAATTTAAAATGGTGAAACTATGATCGCTTGTATATAGATATCTAATCGAATCGTAGATAAAAATTATATCAATCATAAATCATGAGACATCGTCCACTCCAAAATAATAAAATGAGCACATGCATATAAAAATCTTTTCCTGGAGCAAAGTATGAACGTTTGGATTTTCAGAGATATAATAATTGATCATTTGAGGCAAAAACATTGTACAATTGAAGGGTTGCTCTCTTGATCTGATTCTGCCTCCTAATACCATGTATAATCCTTTTATCAGCTTTATATAATTTCACTTAAAATTCCCAATATTATGTCACATTTAAATATTAAAATGAAAATGTAAAATGTTTTTGTAACAGTAAATAATTCATCAGAACAAAGTTTATTTTGTTTTGGGCCTTAAGAGTAAGTTATAATGACAAGGTTTAAAGGATAACAGTTCTTTTTCATTTTTCATCAAGTCAAGAACGAAACCTCAATTTCTAAATATTTATTTGTGGTTATACAGGTGATATAACACTAACCTTTCAAAGGTGTTACACCTCTTAAGACTCCATTGAGAAACAAGACACATTTGTCATATTTGGTCTTATTTGTTTATAATGGTAAAATCAGTTTTTAATGAATAATGAAATGTGACCATGAAAAAGACACATTTCACCTGTGGAGTGTGCGTAGGAGGTCCCCTTTCAATGTTTACAATATAGGTCTATATCCTTGCATGGAATTTAGAGAAATCCTCAGCACAAAGAGCATGGAATTTAGTGAAATAGAATCTAATGCTGTAACTTTGTCGATAAATGATAACCATGACAACAATAAAATCGAATTCAAAAATTACTATAACATTTTATTTATTTATATTTATTAATGGGATGATCTTTCTTATCTGCATAGCCATAGTGAAAACAGACATCCTGACTGACACCTAATATTTGAAAGCAAAAGTCAAACATTATCAAACGCACAACCTTTATGAAGATTTTTTATTCATTGTAAATTTATTGAAATGCTATAGAAAAGGTCACTGTCACAAGCTCAATCTTACGACAGCTCAGAGTATTTGAATTTTGAAAGAAATTATTAATAATGTATTTTTCATAACTTTAGTTCATAAGTCTATCATCTTTTAATTGTTGATTAGACATACTACTCAGTTGACAAGTGTTCACCTCAAGGGGAGAATTGAGTATGATAAAACCTGTCTTAAGTAGATTTGATTGGGGATCAGTGAAAAAGCTTCATATGTAGTCATTAGAGCGATGTCATTAGAATCATAGTCATTAGAACCAAGAGTTGGTTGAGCATTCGCGGTACAAATAAAACATGTTCGCATTTCAAGCTGCTCATTTTATGCAGGATAAATGATATTGTATACTATATAATTTAAATGATAATATCATGAAATATTATGTTTTGTGGACTTATGTTCCTTTTCAAAGGTTTGTTGTAGTAACGTCTTTTTGACGAATGAATTTCTTGAATCTTAAATCGTGATATTTCAAAAGAAATTGATTAGACATTGTGTCTTTACTTTTTTGAAATTTGTACACAAAGTATATATTTTAGATTCTTCTCTACATTTTGTGTATAAAGCTCATTTTGGTATAAAGCTCCTTTTTGTATTAAGCACCATTGGGTATATAGTTCTATTGGGTATGAAATTCCATTGGGTATAAAGCTCTTTTGGGTATGAAATTCCATTGGGTATAAAGCTCCATTAGGTATAAAGTTCCTTTGGGTATAAATTTCCTTTGGGTAATGCTTTATAGGTACTAGGTATGAAGTTCCATTGGATGTAAAGCTCCTTTGGATAAAACTTTAACCGTAAGAAGTTCCATTAGGTATAAATTTCCATTGGATGTATCCAGGCTAGTGATTGTACCAATACAGAACTCACTTTAATATCACACATTCTTATTGCAGGTATTTAATCAAAGGTGGCTGTGACTTAGCTAATGTGAACAGTGATGGAGACCTTGCACTGGACATTGCTGATACTCAGGCCATGGAGGAATGCCTGGAGAGAGAAATGGAAAAACAAGGTATTTTGTCTTGTGGTTATTTTGTGAAGATAAAAATGTAGCGTCAAGTTGACAAGAACGAAACAACGATGTAATTTGCTTAAATCATTGGGCAGACCTATCATTGTACACAGGAACAGTAATTTTGTAAAAAATTAATGAATCCTGCCAAAAATTCACCAATGAAAATCTTATTATGCAGGTATTGATGCGGAATCTGCACGTAACTGGGAAGAGAACCGTATGTTACAAGATGCTAACTCTTGGCTTAACAGTGAAGAGATTATTCCACACAGAGAACCAAAGTCAGAGGCTACTCCCCTACATGTGGCCTCAGCCAAGGGCTACCTCAAAGTCATGGAGTAAGTACTAGTTTTATAATGGAGAGTTCTGTTGTTTAAGGTGGTCCCTGTTTGAGTATTTTAATACAATATTAAATGCTACTCCCCTACATGTGGCCTCAGCCAAGGGCTACCTCAAAGTCATGGAGTAAGTACTAGTTTTATAATTGAGAGTTCTGTTGTTTAAGGTGGTCCCTGTTTGAGTATTTTAATACAATATTAAATGCTACTCCCCTACATGTGGCCTCAGCCAAGGGCTACCTCAAAGTCATGGAGTAAGTACTAGTTTTATAATGGAGAGTTCTGTTGTTTAAGGTGGTTCCTGTTTGAGTATTTTAATACAATATTACATGCTACTCCCCTACATGTGGCCTCAGCCAAGGGCTACCTCAAAGTCATGGAGTAAGTACTAGTTTTATAATGGAGAGTTCTGTTGTTTAAGGTGGTTCCTGTTTGAGTATTTTAATACAATATTATATGCTACTCCCCTACATGTGGCCTCAGCCAAGGGCTACCTCAAAGTCATGGAGTAAGTACTAGTTTTTTTTATAATGGAGAGTTCTGTTGTTTAAGGTGGTCCCTGTTTGAGTATTTTAATACAATATTATATGCTACTTTCCTACATGTGGCCTCAGCCAAGGGCTACCTCAAAGTCATGGAGTAAGTACTAGTTTTATAATGGAGAGTTCTGTTGTTTAAGGTGGTCCCTGTTTGAGTATTTTAATACAATATTATATGCTACTTTCCTACATGAGGCCTCAGCCAAGGGCTACCTCAAAGTCATGGAGTAAGTACTAGTTTATAATGGAGAGTTCTGTTGTTTAAGGTGGTCCCTGTTTGAGTATTTTAATACAATATTATATGCTACTTTCCTACATGAGGCCTCAGCCAAGGGCTACCTCAAAGTCATGGAGTAAGTACTAGTTTTATAATGGAGAGTTCTGTTGTTTAAGGTGGTCCCTGTTTGAGTATTTTAATACAATATTAAATGCTACTCCCCTACATGTGGCCTCAGCCAAGAGCTACCTCAAAGTCATGGAGTAAGTACTAGTTTTATAATGGAGAGTTCTGTTGTTTAAGGTGGTCCCTGTTTGAGTATTTTAATACAATATTATATGCTACTCCCCTACATGTGGCCTCAGCCAAGGGCTACCTCAAAGTCATGGAGTAAGTACTAGTTTTATAATGAAGAGTTCTGTTGTTTAAGGTGGTCCCTGTTTGAGTATTTTAATACAATATTAAATGCTACTCCCCTACATGTGGCCTCAGCCAAGGGCTACCTCAAAGTCATGGAGTAAGTACTAGTTTTATAATGAAGAGTTCTGTTGTTTAAGGTGGTCCCTGTTTGATTAATTTTGAATCTATTAAAGAGCTCAATGCCATGGAGTAAGTACTAGTTTTATAATGGAGAGTTCTGTTGTTTAAGGTGGTCCCTTTTTGAGTATTTTTGAATCTATTAACATGAAATGAAATGCCATGAAATAATTCCTGGTTTTTATAGAGAAAGGTTCTATGGCTAAAGTTGGTCTCAATGTGACAATTTTTCGAACTATGTAAGTAGATAGACCTCAAAGTCCTGGTTTTCATAGTGAAGGATTCTGTTGCTTAACGATGTTCAGAGCCATCTATTTAAAAGTTATATAACACATTCTGATGATATACCAACGCTCACTTGTTGTTTTGTTAGTTGGCAATGTAGAAATGTTGCCGTGGTTATTTTGAGACATCAATCACAAACATTTCAAAATATTCTGAAATCAGGTTGATTAATATAGCGATGGTAAAGTGAAGAAGTGGAAAAATGCCAATGCTCATCTTCCATTAAGACTGTTATTTTCAAGGTTTATTTTCAAGGAGAATCTGAATTTCAATGTGAATGTCGAAAGATTGCATTAATCAGCTAGTTGAACCTATTCTATTATTCAATTTAGAATGGATATGTTATACAGCATTGAAAGGTTTGTTCTGTAAAAGTGTTCAACTTATCAGTTTTCTGGCTGCAGCGGACCTGAAAAGAGGGGGGGGGGGGGCAAAAACTGGTATGCTTGCAGCTAAAAAAATATTGAGCCCCAAATCTGAACATTTTGGACTAATTTTTTATCAATAAGCCAAAAATTGAAAAATGCCATTGAGCCCCAAATCTGAACATTTTGGATTAATTTTTTCTCAATAAACCAAAAATTAAAAAATGCCTAGTAATGCCCAGTTTGTTACCAAAATTGCCCAGATTATGTGTGGGGAAATGCGTGATTTTGTGGATTTCCAATTCTTGATAGCCCCATTCATCTTAAATGGGGGGGGGGGGGGGGTACTCACAATGGGGATGGTTTGGGGTGATTACTTTTGATTTGTGAGACTGTAAGCTGTCAGGTGATTGATAGAGCCTGTCTGCTCATTTAAATCCCCAATCATTTCATAGTAAATGTTCTCAGCAAATCATTCAAATGTTTTTTATTTTGTTGTTTTGAAGTTAGTGCCCTGTAAAGTATTTATACAATGAAGTTAACGACTTGGCCAGATGCAACAAGACTTAAAATGTCAATCTTTTTGAACTGTTCCAGTTATAACTAAAATTAAGTTGTATGAACCCTCAAATTCTGGTATTTTGAGTTTCACCTATAGGCTGACTAATTAAGTCTATATCAATCTCACTGTTTTCTTTCTACTTTGCATTTTAAAATTTTAAATATCAATTGAGAGTTTGTTTGAACTATATCCAAAACCACTACAATTCTAGTTGTAATTATTTTCTGCCAAAATTCCTTTAAAATAGTATCCTGTGGATTCATAACAAGCCATACTGGTTGTGTTCGATAATCTATTGAAAAATGCCTGGAATTGGCTATTTCCGCAGGCTTGCTGAAGCACAATGACCGATAATCACGAATACTTCAAGGATTCCCAGGTTTCCAGGTACTATGGCAACACTCGTTTATTCCCTCTGTTGTATAACAATATGTCTCATCTTCAAAAAACAACTTGTATTTTAGTGCTAATGCTCGAGTCAAACGGTGCAGATATTTTGGATCAAGAAGTAGCTGCTTTGGTAGCATGGGTTTTAAATAGAATAACCACATTTCTGATAGTGCTCATGATACTACTAATTTTAATTGATGCACTTTTTATCAACTATGCTTCCTCATTTGAAGGGATTTGAGCATTCATGTATGTTTTGGAGGAATATTTAGCTGATTCATTTATACCTGGTTTTGTCGGCTCATTGTTCAGTTGCTTTGTGATATAGGAAAACTTGGTTGCTCTACTCTTAACTGAAATATGTACGAATATGAATTGACTACCGTATAATCAAAATCTTTTTATACGAATTAATTTTCTTTTGTATATCTTGACTGTAGTCTACCTAACCGAAATACTATCAGAGTTAAGTTTATTGGACAGGACTGGGAGAATGGGCAAAAATAGTACTATAATATGAGATTTGAATAATCAACTCTCTTGTGGTTTGAACTTGGCCAATTTTAATATGCCAAGCAACAGGCCTCCTATGCTGAAGTGAGGGTCAAAAGCAAAACAAGAATCATCTTGTATACTTCACTGGGTCAGCTTGTAGTGGAAAACTTGTTTGAACATCAATCAACAGCTTTTTAAGAGCTACCTGTAAATGCATGTTCACCATAATCGCAATTTCAAGCATGAAATAAAGAATTAATGGCATATTGTGATGTTATTAGAATTGGCATTCAGATATGCCAAAAATTGATGTAGTTTGTTCTAAGCAAAGTGAAATATTAAAGAAAAAACATGATATTTTTTGTTGGAGATTTTGCAAAAATACCAACATAAGGATATGCTGTGTTACACCTTGTCCGGTCATTTCATGGTAGCTATAAATAGACTCCTTCCCTTTCATTAGTAGATATATCTTTGGTAATTCAGATTCTCTCATAGCAGCATTGAACAATGCAAGACATTAATATTTTATGTAAAATCAGACTGATACAAAGTCAAGATTTTTGTTGAGATTATTTGTTGTTTTCTCTCCATGGTTTTCGAGTTATATCAATTATTGTAATGTAATGACCTTGTGAGTTCAACGGAGCTATGTCAGTCAGTCTTAACAAGGAAAATAACAAGCAGCATAACTTCACTTTTTACATTTTTATGTCACCACCACAAGTGGTGAAATATTGTTATACTGTAGTCTCTAACTCTTTTGTGGATGGTGTTCAGCATCCAGCAGTTGGTGTTCGGTGTTTGGCATTATCATCTGCAACAAATGGAACAAATGGCATGTGGTGATATTTTGCATGTTAATGCCTTATTCAATTTTATCATGATCTAAGATACATGTAATTCTTCATGGTTTGACTGGTCACACTATTCCTTGTTCATTTCTCTACAAATCTGTTGTTTATTTTGGTCTACATAGTAAGGTTATTCATCATCAGCTGCAGGTGCCTGGGAGCTGTCTTCACTTCTTATTTTATCATTCCCAATTCCCAATATATTCATATCAGTTTCATACAGTATTCCAAGAGTTAGTAATCAGCCAGGCATTTAAGGTGACCAGGGAGATTCTTTTTAATTCTTCCGAGATTTTTTTTTATTCTTCCGCATTCATCTGGTTATGTTTTTTTTGTTCTTTGAATTCTATCATATTTCTCTGTTTTGAGTTTGTAACAAGATCAATGGTTGTGTCAGGATGGTTTAGTCTTTAGAATTACAAAATAAGTCTCGTATCAAACCGCTATACCCTAATCCCGACTGTACATGTACTCTGTCTGCAAAATAGTCTTGCAACAGGCCCCTGGAACCCTATCCCCTTTTTGCCATACTCTTTCTTCAGAACTAGCCATGCATCAAACCCCCTGTATGCTTCTTCCCACTGTACTTCATATTACAAAATTAGATTCCATGTATCAGTCCTCCAACCCCCCCTCTCTTTTGCATTTATATATTGAGTTTAGAAAATATATACTATAGACTTGGGAGGAGAATTGTTGACATCTAACTGCAGTATCATGATAGGTTGAAGATGAAGTCAAAAAGTGTTTGGATGAGAAGGTGTTCACATTTTAAGGTTTTTCAATATGTTAGTCAATGGGAGATAACAAAATTGGGACTGAGAAAAAGTGTTCACATTGAGAGGTGTTTAGATTAGATGTTAGGATATACAGGTTCTACTGTACATCTATTTGATTAAGAAGCTTAATGTCAGGATGATATTAAACAAGTTTGTCTTTTAATTATGATGTCTAGTTTAATAATCAAGCTAGGAGAAGACTGTTGTTTACTAAATTTCTCAATTAATCATATCAGGAAGAACCTGTTGCAATTTTTCTCACTTATCACATTGATTTAGTGACTAAGAATCAAGGTAAACTATTCTTCAGAGAATCAAGAATTAATCTAAATTCAAAGTACTGTATCACTATGAAATCCTGACCTTGTTTTAACAGTATCTTTGCATTGACCTCTGCCCCCCCCCTCCTCCCCATCCTGCCTATCCTCCCCAAATAGTGTATACCTCCCACAGTAAATATCATACAAGTATATGACATATTTTCCCCATTTCCTATTTTCCCTCTTTATGATACAAACACTTGATCGTAGACTTGAATCAGAAAATAATTTACTATAATAATACATTCCAGGGGCACTTGAACCTTTACTTTTATGTAGACAGGTCGGATCTTTATCAAATATCATACAAATTGTCAGATAATCAACTTTTCAAAACGTCAAAACCTAAAAATATGAAGGATTCATACTCACAAAAAAGACAAAATTCAATTTAGTCTCATTTTTCCATATGATTTATTTTTCATAGGAGTGTTTAGATTTGGTCCCTGTTTTCTTATTTTCTATTTTCTGTATACTACACTGAAAGTATATGTATATATGTCTTATCTGAATGCCACTGGGTTTCGCCAAAAGTGTTCAGAATTGGAAGTTGTTCAATTTGGAGGTTTTTTAACATGGATGCCTATGGCTGATTAAAAATGAGACAGAAATAAAGCATTCACAGAGGTGTTCAGATTATAGAGACCAGGTGTTCGTATATACAGGTTTTACTGTAGAATCAAACTTAGCTTCTGCTATTTTATTTATGGTTTGTCTTGTTGCTAGAACTAGGAACAAAATTATCTGAAAATTGGAGAGATTCTCCGCTAATGACACCAGTTAGGTCGCCCTGACCTCCAGGGTCTATCTTTGAGTGCCCTTACAAAATATTTCATGACATCTGATTTGTAATGTACCATTGCTGCAATTTGCAAGGGAGTGTAATTGAGAAATATCCTTTAGAATATCCTACAGCTTGGTTTTAAACCATTTAGTGCTTTTTCGGATTTTTTTTTAGAAATTATGAGATAAATATTGGTTAATTGAATATTGAATAATGACTGATGGTGCTGTATTTTGGTAAGATAAATGTTGAATCATCAGAATTTTATGGCTTGGATGTACAGTATCTATTTCCTTATATCTTGTTTGTTTCAGCTAACAAAATAAAAATGTTTGGCAGCTCTTACATATTGCACTCTTAGTTGTTCGATTTTAGAGAAAAGTTCTGAAGAGCTCTGATCATTCTATAAAAATTGTAAAAATGGGCCATTTTATAATGTACTACACGGTATATGGGGACTTTACCCCCCCCCACCTTCTTTCTCAGAAATATACTGGTGTGAGAGAGGCTAAGCCAATAGAAAGGGTTTGTGAAGGCAACACCAGCCGTACCAAATTCACCCTAAAAAAATCCATCAACACTATTTATTGTATGGTTGATATTTTAAATATTTTATGCTGAGCTCAGATAATCAGGTCCCATTTATCTAAGCCGAAGCAAATGGGTTTTAATAAAAAGACTATCTGAATCAAAAGTCACCTTTATAGACAAAATGTAGAATTTGGAGAAATGCTGTAATATTAAAACTGTTTATTCTTAACCATTATTTTTGAAGATTCTTCAAAAGGATTGAAGATGTTTCTAGATCTTTCCTATCTGCGGAAGTAATTTTTCTGGATGTTATTGAAGTGTTTTGAGAAAGTAGATAATTATTACCACTAATGGATGTTATCTGTCCAGTCATATTTTCTGACCATCACCATGGTGAAGGAAATACCTTCTGGGAAAAAGGAAGCCATTTTTCACAGTAGTTTGGTAACCTCTAAGATCTAAGTGCAATTTTTTATAATATTTCATCTGATAGATGTTACTCATGAAGTACACTCAGTCTTTTGCTATCTCTTTTTGGCTACTTCCTCGAGAGTTATGATGATCTAGCTTCATATGACCATGTAACATATAAACAGTTCTTATGATGATTTCTACTGCAAAAGTACTTCCTCGTATCTCTTATTTTTGATTTCCCAGATGTTTGATTTTTCCTTAATATCAATTTGTATGCTGGTATGAGATCTTTGATGAAATGATATAAAATGTCTTATTTTTATGAGACTTTCAGGATCATGCCCCTATCCTTGACTCCCCTCCCCTTATTTTGTTACCCCACCATCTGGGCCATCCCCTTTGACTTAATTCCTCCCCTTATCTCCTTACCCCCTCTCCCACTCTTGCAGCCTTGCCTACCCCAAGAATGTTATGATATAACAAATATGAAGGCCATCCACAATAATTCACTGGGCTAGCTGTCATCAAAGGAAGATTACTGTAGATTTATGTTCAATTGTACTTGTATTTTGATATCTATGCCCTTTAAAGATTCTACTCTTATTATTAACCGGTAGATCAGTATACAATCATATTCTTTGTACTTAATGTATTTTTAGGGGCTCCATACCAGGAAAGGTGAAGGTCACTCTTCATAATTGTCAGGATTTGGGATATATGAGATTCATTAAATAAATTCTTCAGTGGGGTTTATACTCCAAGAGTATCAGGCAGTTTAGCAGTGCTTTTATCCCATTCCTGTTGATCAGTTTCCCATAGAAGGCCAGTGTTCTCCCATAGTTTTTCTCAATTGGTTGTAAAATTAAGAATGTCAAAAACTTCAGAATATCCTCATTTATATGGTTTATTGAATTCTCAATTCTTTGCAAATACAGTACATGAATAGATCTTCAAATGAACAGATTTTACATATTATTTGAATTTCCCAGTAATTTGCGTCATGAATTCGCAATATTGGCTATAGATACTATAGTAACTAGACTGTCATTCAGTTAATGTTGCGATATATCAGTGACGTGACATGTTAAATAAATTAAAAGATGTTATTCAGGACCACGTCAGATTATTTCAAGCATTTTAAATAATACCAAAACCTGTCAAGGATGATACCAAATGTGTCTTTGTAAAGGAAATTGACTTTTAAGTTATAAGAATCCTCAATGAAAAATTGAGAAAGGAATAAAAGAGTTGAACATAATGATTTTAATATTGTAAGTAATTTATTTGTGTTTCACACACTGAAATATTACACAGAATAACACATTCATAATAAAAAGCAGTGTCTGGCCGATGCCGACCTATGAAAGACAACATACATTTCTGGTTTATAACTTATTGGTATATTTTTTCAGTGTGCTATTAAAGCTAGGAGTAGATGTAGATGCGAAGGATGCTGATGGATGGACGCCACTACATGCGGCTGTACACTGGGGACAAGAAGAAGCTTGTAAAGTACTTGTGGAACACATGGCTGATATGGAGGCCAAAAATAATGCAGTGAGTGCCAATATAAATACAGTAAAACCAGTTTAATCTGAACATCACTCATACTGGTCAAAAGTGTTCGGATCAGCATATTTTTAACATGGTCTATAATTCAATGGCAGATTAAAAATGTGACCGAAAAAATGTTCACATTGAGGCGTGTTCAGACTAGAGAGTTGTTCCATACACAGGTTTTACTGTGGTAAATCTAGCTATCATATCAGAAAAATTATAAGTACTAATGCAAATGAAAAAAAATCCTAATTTTTATTGAAGATTGAATATCCAGACCTCTTATATAACAGGAATGAGAAAAAGATAAAGAAAATAATGATGATACAGCGCATGGTAGATCATCAGCAGACCACATAACTATGCTAGCTTCACATTGCATTTCATTTGCAAAATATCTTCATTGGTACCAAAAATAGAATCTAGTCAAATTTTCAAATATAAAATCACATATGCAAGATGCACCAACCGATTCAAAAGTCAAAAATCCCTTGGATTTTCATATATGGCAATTTTTCTTGTCAAGAATGGCATTCTGGGTTTTTCATCTTCTTGGATAACAGAATATAGACTTTATTATTACAATGATATTACATGTATATCAAATGTTTTAAGAAAGACTGTATTTCATCATGGATAACATGAATAAAATGATCCACTTATATTATTACAATGATATTATATAAAATGTTTTAAGAATGACTGTATTTCATCATGGATAACATGAATAAAATGATCCACTTATATTATTACAATGATATTATATCAAATGTTTTAAGAATGACTGTATTTCATCATGGATAACATGAATAAAATGATCCACTTATATTATTACAATGATATTATATCAAATGTTTTAAGAATGACTGTATTTCATCATGGATAACATGAATAAAATGATCCACTTATATTATTACAATGATATTATATCAAATGTTTTAAGAATGACTGTATTTCATCATGGATAACATGAATAAAATGATCCACTTATATTATTACAATGATATTATATCAAATGTTTTAAGAATGACTGTATTTCATCATAGATAACATGAATAAAATGATCCACTTATATTATTACAATGATATTATATCAAATGTTATAAGAATGACTGTATTTCATCACAGATAACATGAATAAAATGATCCACTTATATTATTACAATGATATTATATCAAATGTTTTAAGAATGACTGTATTTCATCACAGATAACATGAATAAAATGATCCACTTATATTATTACAATGATATTATATCAAATGTTTTAAGAATGACTGTATTTCATCACGGATAACATGAATAAAATGATCCACTTATATTATTACAATGATATTATATCAAATGTTTTAAGAATGACTGTATTTCATCACGGATAACATGAATAAAATGATCCTCTTATATTATTACAATGATATTACATCAAATGTTTTAAGAATGACTGTATTTCATCACGGATAACATGAATAAAATGATCCACTTATATTATTACAATGATATTACATCAAATGTTTAAGAATGACTGTATTTCATCACAGATTACATGAATAAAATGATCCTCTTATATTATTACAATGATATTACATCAAATGTTTTAAGAATGACTGTATTTCATCACGGATAACATGAATAAAATGATCCACTTATATTATTACAATGATATTATATCAAATGTTTTAAGAATAACTGTATTTCATCACGGATAACATGAATAAAATGATCCACTTATATTATTACAATGATATTATATCAAATGTTTTAAGAATAACTGTATTTCATCATAGATAACATGAATAAAATGATCCACTTATATTATTACAATGATATTATATCAAATGTTTTAAGAATGACTGTATTTCATCATGGATAACATGAATAAAACGATCCACCTGTGTTATAGGGACTATCTGTTTTCGATGAAGCTGACACTGATATGCTTAAACTGCTTATAGAACTCAAGAAAAAACAAACAACAGTAAGTTGAAATAACAACAGATAATAAAAGTCAATGTTTGTATCATAAAGCCCTCTAGAGTTGTAGAAAGTTAAGTTTATTTAGTATGAGTATTTTATACTGTTCCTTGATGATGATTTTGTGATAGTCAATCTGTTTTTCTCCAACAAAATTGTAATTTATGGCAAAAAGATAGACTTTTAGCTCTTCTTGCCAATATCCTAAAATTCCTTCATTTTTTGGTCCATGTCTCAATTTTCTGTTATTACAAACTTGGCGATTATTTTTCAGCTAAAAGATAAAAAAGATGTGATTCAAACAAAAGTCCCTCCGCCATTAAAAAGAAGGTAAGGAAGTGTTCAATTATGTTTATTACAAAATTTACAAAAGTTACATGTGTTTGTAAGATTACTTTAAAGATCTGACTCTGGTTGATATATACAGTACATTGATTTTTATACTCCTTGCTTGATAATTTAATACCATGTCATTTCTATCTGTTTAACCAACTGACTGATTATTGTATTCTGTTGCATCATCCTTTACTATTTTGGACAGTATACTAAGTTACAGGACATATACATTCAGTTACAGGACAAATGTATACTAAGTTTTAGTTGCATATGTTATTATTGGATATAATTTTTAATTTTTGGTGAATATTTTTTCATGGAATTTTCTGTTATTTCAGAACTTCAATCACTCGTATGAGTGTAGACCAAAAACAGAATGTTGTAATAAAAAATTTAGAAGAGGAACGCGAGCAGCTAGAACGTGGACTCTTCAAAAAAGAGGATAGAAAAACGATGAGCTCAAGTTCTAGCAGCGAAGAATCAAGCTCCGATTCAGAAACTGGTAAATTAACTCATTCTAATATTTTAATATCTTTCGTTCACTTTATCATGTTTTTCAAAGGTCTCTAAGTTTAGTGAAAATTACTCGTTTATTGGAGTCACACCCATATACCGGTAATAATAAGTTTGAATAAAACATTGGAAATGGAATTAAGATTCTTAGGGAAATCTTCAGCATTTACATGTACATTGTTTTTTATGGAAGTATTTTTTTAATGAATAGGAGGCAAAATCGTCATGATAAGTTAAAATGTGTCATTTATGTACCTTTGTTTTGCTTTTTATTTCAGAAAAACAAAACGCAATAAATAAGAAAACAACTCTTACAAGCAACAACCATGTAAGTAAAGCAACCTTAGAAAAACAACATTGGGATAAATACTGTGTTATATTCAAGATCATGTAATCTAATGTGAAAATGTTCATGGAATCTGTTTTGAATATCAAGACATACCAATGTTGCATGCTTTAACTGTTTCAATACATTTGGTGTTGGTGAACATGCTTGAATCCTCAAAATCCTTTGTAAGATATATCATGTACATATATGTATTCAGTATCATGAATGGGGGCATGAAGGCTTCACTATTCCTTGTACCTGTCTCTCGGGGATGTTGCATCCAATAAGTGAAAACAAAATTTATGAATTGAATTATTGAAATGTCAAGTTATTGAATTATCCTAGATCATCAAATTGCGTGTTTGGAAACAGTTTTTAAATTAGCTTTTTTCAACCTATTTTCATTAACAGACCAACTTTGCAAGCAGCTAGAAATCAGATCTCTCAAAAGCAAATTAGTTCAATACAACGCACCCATCTTGTAGCCATTTATATTCTATCCATTCTGCACATGCACACTGTAGAAAATATTTAGCTTTAAAAAAGGCCTCTTTGCTCTTTTTCAGCAAGTTTTTATTTCACTTTTCCAAACAATGACTTTTAGCTTGATGTCATTATCCATGGCAATGCAACTTCCCCTTTAGGGACTTCACTTTGTAATTAAGGGGCTTTGGCCTGCTTTTTCAAGGCTTTGGACACCAACTCGAGTACAACCTTTCAAAAAGCTACAACCGAAACGCCAAAAATTGAAGAATCATCAGAGATCAGCAAGCCCTCTTCACCCAAAATTACTGATCTTGCGACCACGAAGAAAGAAGAGATTGTTAAAAAGAAGGATGATATTTTAGAACTTAAGAAGGAAACTGATAAGGATGAAACTGAAGAGATTACCAAGGATAAGGAGCAAGAGGTTTGTGGCCCTCCCCCTGACAACAAGGCGAATGTGTTGCATGAGGGTCATGATCTTATGTTTGAACAGTGGGAAAAAGTGGGATTCAGGATGTGGCTTGTTGCAAATGTCATGAAACTTGATCTCGTAAAATGATGCTTTCAACAACCTTTGCATATGGGGGATTCTTTGTACTGCCTCTTTATTGCATTTCCCTGCTGTATTGTCAGATATAAGACTTGACTCTCATGACAAAGTGTTACCAGTTGAGCCTATGTACGCTTGCTTTTATATAATATATCAAGTTATGTGTATGCTCTTCAATATACGTAATGTGTTTGGCTTACTTCGTAAACACTATTTAGTTGTGACAATGTACCTGATTTACGCCTTTAAGCCTAATTGTAGAGATTGATTGACAAATAAAAGAATTGTTTGTCCTTTTAGAATTTTTTATTATCCCTCAATCAGTTCAATATACTACATTCCAATGGAATCTTTATAAAACCAGTGCATATATTGAAGAGAATACACTACATCTAAGATTTATCTATATGCCATATAAGTGTTGTAAGCTTCGCTTCCTGTCGTAAACTGCAACTATTAAATGTCAATGACTTTGAACTGAAAACTTCTGGAAGATGAATCAACAAAAGGTTTGTAAGTAAGGCTTATCTAATAAATCATTGCTCCTTCACTGAAATAGAGAAAGTAGATTGATGATGCCATTAGTATGTCATAAGATCTCCCACAATGAACTGTGGTAGTTAGTGCAGCCTACTTCGGTCGGCCATCTTTTGGATTGCAAGTTTTTTCTGACTTTTAAAATGGTTGTGCCTTTTCACGATATGAGTTTGTGAAGTTGATTGTACAGATTGCCACAGTCCTTTGTCCTGTATTATAACATAACTAGTGACATCATCAATTTATGATTGTGACATCATCAGTCTATGATTGTGACATCATCACTCTGTGTGTACTAGTTGTGTACTTTATCCTCATACTGCTTGAAGCTTGATACATGTACTAGATAGCACCTTAGAGTAAAATTCCCTTATGTAATTCCCTGTATGAATTCTGATGATTCACAAACCTTCAGATTTCATGATTTTTCACATCATGAAAGTCATGGACACCAGGAATCATGATTTTCAGTACTTTGAACCAGGCAATAGGATTAGTTTTCAACGTTATGGGTTTCAGATATGCTTGCCTTATGATTACAATAATCTAGGAACAACCTGCTCATAAACTTTGTTTAAAGGACGATTCTCGGTTTGGAGAACAGTCTCCTGAGCTAATAATTTTTTTCATGAAAAATATAGAAATATTACCCAAATTAAACTATGAATATTCAAAAGAGGACATTTAAATCTACAAGATGTAAAAATAACAAATTGGTCTGAAGCAGGGATAACGCTCAATTAGACCGATTCAATAGAAATACAAGTCTCGATTTGGGGAAAGAAGTTCATCAGTGTACTGCGCTAATATTTTTTTGCGAAAAGTCTAGAAATATTACCCAAATTAAAGCATGATTATTCAAAAGAAAACATTCAAATCTATATTATGTAAAAATATCAAATTTGTCCGAAGCAGGGATGATGCTCATTTAGATTGATGAACTTCGTTCTCCAAACCGAGAATCGTCCTTCACTGTTTTTGAATTGAATGTTCATATAGTCGAACTTCTTTGTCATTTTTTCTCAAAATTGCATGTTTTTAAAGATGTTACTTAAAATGTTGTATTTAATGTTAGCGTATTTATCTTTATCATTCATTCTCAGATCTCAACTCTTGATATACCTACTAGAATTTGTGTGTCTTAAGTCCTAACTGAGATTAGAGACAATAGCAACTATCCAGCTCACTCAGTCACACAATATAATAAAAGATACTGAGGTATATGAAGAGTTGAGAGTTTTCAACCATTGGTTATGGCTTTATACTACACCAAGTAGCAACTAAAATATCTTAATGATGCACTTTAAGACATAATGACATCTTTTACCATCTGATGGTTAGTAATGTACTAATATGTCTTAAAGTACAATATGAGGTGTGTTTACACGGGGTGATCAATAAGTAATTGGCGCTTTTTTAACACAGACTGTTTTAAGATAGCAAACCCTCTGATTTTGTTAACAGAGATGTATCATGCTATGGATGCATTTCAAGTTAAAAGAATCAAGAAAATTTAAGTATAAGTGAGCCGAGCTGACTTTTAAAATGTGTTCATAACTTATTGGTCACCCCTCATTTTAGAGTTACTGGTGTGACTATTATGTCACCACCAAAAGTGGTGACATATTGTTATGGTCTCCGTTTTTTTTGCGACGGCGGTTGGTGGTTGGTGGTTGGAGGTTGGCGTCCGGCGTCCGGCGGTTGGCGTCCGGCGTCTGTAACAATTTCTTACAACTTCCTATAACTTAACAAATACTGTTTAGACTGACTTCAATTTTTTTCTAAATCATCTACATGTTCTCAGAAGTTCAAATCTGACTTTAGATTTGACATTTGACCTTCAATGACCTTCTCAAGGTCAAAAAGGTCTTTTTTCAACTTGCTTCACATTGACTAAATTTTTTTTCAAAATCATCTACATGTTCTCAGAAATTCAAATCTGACTTTAGATTTGACTTTAGATTTGACATTTGACCTTCAAATCTGACTTTATATTTGACATTTGACCTTCAATGACCTTCTCAAGGTCAAAAAAGGTCAAAAAGGTCTGTTTTCAACTTGCTTCAAATTGACTAAATTTTTTTTTCAAAATCATCTACGTGTTCTCAGAAATTCAAATCTGACTTAAGATTTGACATTTGACCTTCAATGACCTTCTCAAGGTCAAAAAAGGTCAAAAAGGTCTGTTTTCAACCCTTCATCAAATTGACTAAAAAAAAATTTCAAAATAATCTACGTGTTCTCAGAAATTCAAATCTGACTTAAGATTTGACGATTTGACATTTGACCCTCAATGACCTTCTCAAAGTCAAAAAAGGTCAAAAAGGTCTTTTTTCAACTTGCTTCAAATTGACTAAAAATTTTTTTCAAAATCATCTACATGTTCTCAGAAATTCAAATCTGACTTTAGATTTGACATTTGACCTTCAATGACCTTCTCAAAGTCAAAAAAGGTCAAAAAGGTCTTTTTTCAACTTGCTTCAAATTGACTAAGTTTTTTTTTCAAAATCATCTACATGTTCTCAGAAATTCAAATCTGACTTTAGATTTTACATTTGACCTTCAATGACCTTCTCAAAGTCAAAAAAGGTCAAAAAGGTCTTTTTTCAACTTACTTCAAATTGACTAAATTTTTTTTTCAAAATCATCTACATGTTCTCAGAAATTCAAATCTGACTTTAGATTTGACATTTGACCTTCAATGACCTTCTCAAAGTCAAAAAAGGTCAAAAAGGTCTTTTTTCACCTTGCTTCAAATTGACAAAATTTTTTTTCAAAATCATCTACATGTTCTCAGAAATTCAAATCTGACTTTAGATTTGACATTTGACCTTCAATGACCTTCTCAAAGTCAAAAAAGGTCAAAAAGGTCTTTTTTCAACTTGCTTCAAATTGACTAAAAAATTTTTTCAAAATCATCTACATGTTCTCAGAAATTCAAATCTGACTTTAGATTTGACATTTGACCTTCAATGACCTTCTCAATGTCAAAAAAGGTCAAAAAGGTATTTTTTCATCTTGCTTCAAATTGACTAAATTTTTTTTTCAAAATCATCTACATGTTCTCAGAAATTCAAATCTGACTTTAGATTTGACATTTGACCTTCAATGACCTTCTCAAGGTCAAAAAGGTCAAAAAGGTCTGTCTTCAAATTGACCAAATTTTTTTTTTCAAAATCATCTACATCTTTTCAGAAGTTCAAATTTGACTTTACATGTTCTCAGAAATTCAAATATGACTTTAGATTTGACATTTGACCTTCAATGACCTTCTCAAGGTCAAAAAAGGTCAAAAAGGTCTTTTTTCAACTTGCTTCAAATTGACTAATTTTTTTTTTCAAAATCATCTACATGTTCTCAGAAATTCAAATCTGACTTTAGATTTGACATTTGACCTTTAATGACCTTCTCAAGTTCAAAAAAGGTCAAAAAGGTCTGTTTTCAACTTGCTTCAAATTGACCAAATTTTTTTTTCAAAATCATCTACATCTTTTCAGAAGTTCAAATTTGACTTTACAAGTTCTCAGAAGTTCAAATCTGACTTTAGATTTGACCTTTGACCTTCAATGACCTTCTCAAGGTCAAAAGGTATTTTCCAACTTGCTTTAAATTGACCAAATTGTTTTAGGTGGTGACATTTTGTCATGTTAATGCCTTGTTTTTTATCATGCTTTCCTCCAGAAAATCTCATCTCCCAATCCCCACCGGCAACCTCTTCACGATAGCTCACAGCGTGACATCACATTACGTGACACTTTAAAGGACTCATCACAGGGTGACATCATATCAAAAAATGACGTCAAATCTCAAGGTGACATGACATCTAAAAAAGCGAAGGATCCGATAAGTAAAACAATTAGCGATCCAGGGTCTTTCAGAAATCCACAGGTTGGTAGCATCTCTCTATGTATGCGAGCACGAGATTAAGAAATAACATCTACACTTTGATAAGTTCTTTACTACACACTTGATAGATTCTACAATTTCAACATCATCATTCATAAGCCCACATTTGAAAAAATTGTCATGGCAGTGATATTTTGAAATGCAAAGGAAAGCTGTTAAAATGTCATCAGTCTGTGACACTTTAGTTCAAACAACCAGAAAATCAGGGATTTGCCTAATATTAGAGAGCCAAAGTGCTCCTAAATCACCATGACTAATTTTTCAAGTTTATGTTTTTTCTTCAATGAAAGTATTCATCTGTCTAATGTCAATGTTGTACTGCTGTGTTGTATTTATGTTGTAAATTTGTGACTTGTTTTTATGTAAAATGTTATTCATGTCTGTCTAACACCATCTTTTACTAATAACTAGGCATACCTGATTTAACACTCCATTCTCATTGGTGGCGCCCTCTAACATTATAATTTAGTCTACTGGTGATTGTAACAATTTTGATATCAATCTCGTCTTGTCAAGGAGGATTGGAAGCCGTTATTGAAACTTGATTGTCCATTGTCTGGAGTATGTCAATTTGGTAACAATATTACTCATATTTTGAAGCCTAGTAGGGCCAGAGAAGCTTGAATTTTACCATAATATTCGTAATGTACATCTTCTTATGAATGGTCCAAAGAGAGCCTTATAGAAATATTTTTACTTAATTGTTCCATGCCAGGCAATGGAAGATCGAGTTTGAATAATGGCTGCCAATCCTCCTTGTCATCTTGTTAAATGTATTACAATTTGAGTCTAATGAGGGCACGAAAATCTGGAATGGTAAAATTATGAATACTCATCAATTTCCATGAATAGGTTTACAATGTCATGATACCACCTAATAAAAGGGCCAGAGCACACTACAGAATGGTAACCATGGTGATTGTTATAATTGAAATATTTGTACTTTATCTCATTTACTGTATTTGATTGTTTTGTGTTGGATTTTCCTTTCACAGTTTGTTGCTGTTTTTGTGTTTTGTTTTAAAGTTTAAGAAAGTTGATTGAAGTTCCCATTAATAGCCATATTAAAAACTGCCTTTTATGATAGTTCAAGACAACATGAATATATTAGTTATATTGTTATTTGATGAAATGAAACTACATTACAAACATAAGATCGAGGATATCACAAAAAGCAGTTTTGTTTTTGCTTTTGTTACCCCAGTTCTAGAAACACTAAACCTTATGTCATATATGATATAGCACATATGATTCATGGCTGCTATATTAGGGGGGTGGGGATATTTTAATGGGGAGGTCGCATGCAAGGTGAATTTCCACCAGAGATGGCAAGATTAACATTGTTGCCATTTGGTTAATGACAAGCTCAGACAATTTTTCTAAAAGTCACACCAAATGTTAACTAATATTTGGATGAATTTATTTTATATTTATATATGACATAAGGGAAAGTTATGAGTTACAAATTGTTTACGCTTTACTGAAAAATTTAGACATTGTGAAATCAGAGATGATATTGTAAATCAAAAGCTTGAATTCAAGATTTAGGAAATAACTTTAAAAATTCATCGCATCTGATATCACAATGTGTTCAGTTCCCACAATGCTTTGTTGACACTTGTTTTGTATTTTGCATGAAACAGGGTGTCTCTGCCTTAACTAACAAGACGCAGCTTCCCCGGCATGAATCCATTGGTTCTGGGGATGGTCCCGGCTCTTGGCGGGCGGGTCTACGGAAAACGCCCAGTTCAAGCGCCGTACCCGAGGGTAAAGCAGCAAAAGATGAGCTGTTGGAAAAACTCTCTCGGTCCGCATCTAGTCCTAGGCTTGCCGGTGATCAGGTTTGTTACCATGGATACCTAGCAACAATGCAACAATATCGCTAGGCTTTAATCAGCACTGATACAGTACTAGAGGCTAATTTCTATTTATAGTATATACAGGGTAGGCTAGAAATGTACATTTTTCAAAAGTGACCATTTTGACCTCACCCTGGCCTGTATATATGGTATGAATTTCACCCCCACTAAGTGTGTACACAAACCTAAGTTGGACATAGCAGAGGTCATGTGGCCGTGAAAACTCATTATTATTGATTCATCTCAAAATGTAAATCAAATGCTACGCAATGCAAATGTTTGCATTGAGATATCTTATATTTGCATTTTGGAAAAATTAAAAAGGTCTATTTTCTGTTGCCTTTGTACTACCTAGCTGCTGTACACGTTGTTACTTGTTAGAGTTTGCATGGCTATTATATTTATTGTTCATGGATTTTACACCCAAGCTTTTTTCCACCATACACTAATACATGGGGCTGTTACTCAAATCAGTTATGGTTAAATGATTTGTGAAATACTTTTGTATTTTCATAGCAATTGAATTCCTCCAAATCCTGAATCATTACGCTTTCAAGTAATGGCCCCTTGGTATCTGTAAAGCAAATAATTTGTTAAAGTTACACAGCAGGTCTACTAGCTTCGTTATGGATCATTATGACAAAATTCTTTTTAATGAATGATTTTTTAGGTGTCACACAGGCACAAATCCTTTGTTTAGAAGTTTTTATCAAAATGCTCAGTAATGAAGCTGTTTAACCCTACTGTGTAACAGCTCCTATTGTTAGTTACATAGTTACATGTACATTGTTGATTTTACTTTGTGGAGTGGTGTTTTTAATTGTCGTTATATGATGTTGTAGGATCGCACCTCACGCCGCCCATATAGTACCTCTGATCTACGAGACCCTGCTAGCAAAGATAGGTGAGTTATGACATCATTATGAAATCACAACGGCACTATCATGATGTCATACTAATGATGGTTATCTACAAAACATCTGCCAGCACTAAGAGGGGGAAGACCCCAGAATTCATAGATAAAGCTATCTCCATGTAAAGAAGATCTTTACATAGAGATAGGTTCAACTATGAATATGGGTATTTCCTCCTCTTACCAGCACTCTTCAAGGTAGTCATATAGTTCAAAACATATGATCTTATTTACATTAGATATAAATAGTTACAATTGTTTTTAGGAAATGTATATATTTGTATGATATTTATTTTCAACTTTTCATTTATTTTTTGAAAATGACTTCAGTCTAGTTCAGGTTCACGAAGAAGAATTAGTTGATGATGTTTTCGAATCCGTTGACGTTAGAATCAGAAACAGGTAGCTTTATCATCTTGACAACGACAAAAATCATTTTTAGAATTATTATTTCATTATTAATATTTTAGTTCATGCATTATATAATTCAACTATTATTCAAATGGTATTTAATACATCTTTTAGTCATGTGTTTTTTAATCCCTGTCAATAATTTCCCGTTTTGTTCGAGGATTTGGTATTGCAAGTGTTTCTTACAACTGCAAACAAACATGACAAATATTTATACTTTGATACCCTGAGGTATCAATACTTTCTAGGTATCAAGAATATTTTTTAAAAATAAAAATGACAATGTCATGCTTGTTAGCTTAACAGTTGTTTGAACTTGCAATTTCATAACCACTTCAACAAGTATATAATACCTCGTTTTTTATTGTGGTTCATTAACACTAATACAATTTAAGTTGTAATGAGAAAATATTTTGCCAAATTGATTTACTCTCTGTGAGTAACATTTCAACATATCCTCTTATACTATTAATCCATTTTGTGATTAATATCTGGGGTCAGTGGTTGCTTTTGACTAGAATGGTTACTTCATCCCTGTTTTATATCCAATACTAATACAGTACATATAATGTATACCATTTGTTATATTTAAATACTAACAGTAGGTTTTCTAATGGAGTTCTCCTAATGTATATGAATTGCGGTGGTCAAGTTATTATGTCACCACACCACAGCAGGTGGTGACATATTGTTATAGTCTCCAACTTTTTTGTGGACAGTGTTCGGCGTTCGACGTTTGGCGTCTGAAACAAATGTAGCAAATGGCAGGTGGTGACATTTTAATGCCTTGCTAACTGATATCATCACTTACAGTATTTTCCCATGTATTAAAAGTTAATGTTTATATTGCCTCTGCACATGTTTTCATGAATTCGTGCTTAGTATAATGTTATGAAGTCCAACCCCAGCAAATACATCAATGTATCATTGTAAGTCAATGAACATGATTAAGATACAACAGAGGGACAATATAAATTTTAAAGAATTTAATGGTTTGAATTGTTGTGCATGTAAAACATTATTTTTCTGTCGGAAAGGATTTGAAAAGTTTACCTGGGTATTTTCGATAAAGTGTGAAGTGTTAACAAGGTAACAAGATAATGTTGTTGGCTTATATTGATACATGGACGTGCATCCCGAACTATTCATACTCCCGTTTAAACACGTTGGCTTAAAATGTTGTTATAATCGCCATATTGCTAATTCATTATATCGTATAAAGTTTTAACGAGATCTGGTGAGAGTCTTTCATCGCATGAGCATGTACCAACTTTACATCGCTATCTCATTGCGTAAATCATCATTTCACTCTTTCCTCTATGCAAAGCAAAAATTAGTACATTTACTAACTAATACTGTATAGTAATTCATCAGTTATAACAATCCATTGTGTCAAAACTATTTGGAAATAAATAGGACTTAGTTAAATGAGACAATAAAAATACAAAAATCATAACTGGGTTTATATTCTTCAAAAGAAAACACAAGGCAAAGTCGAATTGTTTAATTGTTCAGAAAATAACAACTTCAGATATGCTTTTGATGACTAGGGTAGAGTAGAGAGTGAAATTATTGCAATCAAATAAATGAATCGTCACAAGGATCATGATTTAATTGAGGAATAACTGGAATGAGAGAGATTTGAAAATAAACTTAAAGCAAATAAAAAATGAAAAGTGGAAAATAGGGATGCTTGTCAAAAACAAGTTTGATGAACTACTCATATGTACAAGTGATAGGAAATGAGTAATTCTTGAAGGAAATTACGTCATAGAAGAAGTCTGGTCAGAGTATCACTTTTGTTTGTTCCCAATTAATAATTTAACAAAATATTTGACCCCCTGCTTTCCCCTATATTTGTTAAATCCTTTTGAACATTAAAATGACACAATTCTAATGATTTTCACATTGTACTGGATGTTAACAACTTAACTTAAGTTTTTCCCCCTCTCCAAACAAAATTACTTCTCAATCCCGTAAAAATGACTAGGAATGACCTCTAGAGACACGAAACCCATATTTTAATTAGTATCAAAGTACCTGAAAATGTGTTCATTCAAATGTTATTGAGAAATAGCTTCACCTAAACGTGATCCCTGTGACGTATATGAAATCACCCAACCATCATGGACATGGCTTTTGTTATTACTAACGCATGCATTTGCTTCCTTCCTTCCTAACAGGTTCCTTAGCTATCAAAATAGGTTCACAACATTAACAAATTCCTCCAGTGCCGTGCCGCCAGCCCGTCAGTCTTCCTATGTCCCGTTGTCACGTCGACGCCAGCTGGAGGCAGAGCTTAAGGCTGCGGAAAGTGAATCCAGGGTAACAACTACGCCATCTATCAACTCCACGACTACAACTACGACCTCTAGAGGATCTAGGTTAGTTTTACTTTATTTTTTTTTTGAAATTGAAATTGATTTACTGTTGTTTGTTTGTTTAATAGGAATGATAAGAAAATAATACAACACTAATAGATATACATGTAGAACCATTCAAAATTCATCGGATGTACATTTATGTTGACATCTCAATTTTCAAAAATGGGTATATTCATGAATTTAGCACGATGTAAATTTGGGAATTTACTCAAGAAATCTATGGATGTTACAGTCAATTAGTGAATTCAACTTGCCTTTGAATCAAAAACATGCAAAAATTGCAGCTATTGTGTCTTTTTTCAGGGCCTATGAACCGCCTAAAAGAGATGAGGAGGCAGAAACCCAGCGTAAGGCAAGAGCCAAGAAGGCCAGAGAGACTAGGAGGTCAACCCAGGTATGTGTATAAAAAGCATTTGTTTGTTAGTTGTGATTAAAATATCATATTTTGGTGTGGAGTACTTTTATAGATGGCAGTACTCTCTTACATTTTGCCTTCTAAAATTATATGTTGATATTGAACTGGATGTTACAAAATAATATACATGTATGTGGAAAAATATGTTAAAAAAACAAAATGCAATATGTTAGTGCATATTCTACAGGGTGTTACACAATATTTTACAGGGTGTTACAAAAGAAGATCTGGCACTTGCCCAGCAGACGTTACAATTTGCTGACAAATCTAAGATTGAGTCCACATCAAAAATTGAAGAAGAAAATAAAAGTGATAAAGAAAATAAACCTGATGCCACGACTGTTACACGGAGGTCAAAGTACTTGGATGATAAAAAATCAACAAATGAGGTGAGTTTTCTGAGACCACTTAAATGTATTGATGTTGTCTGAAAATGCGTCATGAATTATATTTCAGATTTACCCCATCCCCTTAGAAATGGAACATTAATTTTTATTGACTTTCATTTGAAAAAATTGATGTACATTATAACAAGATATAAATAAAAAATAATAGAAAATGTTGATGCCTCTGAGCATGGCCTCTTATTATTACAAGTAAGCAAACTTATTATCACATTTTTGCCTTAAGTAAATGCCAGACATAATATTAATGAGGCATCTAGCTGAAGTGTTACAGTACTATTACAAACATAAAGTACTATACTGTCCTTATAGGGCAAGCCTTGTGTGGTTAGTTCATCATTGATGTTCTGAAGGTTACTACTAGTGCAAAACCAGTTCAGAAATGACAATTTAGTACTCAGCTAGTACACTCAGTTCAGTTATATGTCATTGTGTCTTTATAATGTTTTGCAGTCGGTATAATTACAAAAGGTGATAATTACTGTAGTACTCCAAGGGTATTATAGATCTATAAGTGCTTTCTTTTATATGTAGTCTAGATGTCATTTTAAAAATTTCTGTTAAACCGCAACATATACCCACTAGAGTGTCTAGCGGCTTGTTTTTTTTTAAAGTGTATATAAATAAATTGAATTGAAAATTTAGTAGCGAACTATTGAAATCCCTTAGTGTCCCCAATTTTTACTCATTTTTCATGAAATTCAGAACATATGTCCTCTGGAATATTCCTAACACTCAAAATTTTTTGTTTATCTTGAAACATTGTAAACCTTTTATATGGAAACATAAGAATGTAGTATTTTCTTAATTACAAATGTTGTATTGATTTTCTGTTGTCATAGGAATAACAGTGACTTGGGATGTTTATTTGAGAAATACTGAGAAAAAAGAATGTCCAATGAGTCAGTATTAACATAAAAGGCAGCTTTGTATAAAGGAATGATAGATATCAGACATCATTAAAGGTTCCTCAGCTTAATTGTAATTTATATATAGCTTATATGTACTTTTTCTATTTGTCACATTTCAAAGCATTGACCTAGACACCTCATGATAAATTATCCATTAGTTCGCTTCATTGAACTACACAGGCTGTATCGATTATCCCAATAAACAAAGTTCATAGACGATATAATGAAGCCTCTGTCCATTTTTCAGTCCATCTATTGTATTGTATTTTATTCGTGCCTTTTAAATCCAATAAATTCAAAAAGGCTGCCAAAAGAGAATTTCTATTGAGATTGTGACCTCTATGGCTTTATGATATTCAAATTAAAGGCATTGAGTAGTAGATCACAAATACAGAATCATTTTGTTTTATTTATGTCTTGGAAAGTTTATTTACCAAATCGTCTTGTGAATACTTTCGAGCTAAATATACTTTAATGTTTGAGAAACAATTGTTTGTTGGAATTTGCCACTCCATCGAGTTGCCATTTTCTAGTTCTGATTTCTGTTTGATAAGTTATTCATGTGCCTTCAAGCTCTGTATCTGTTGCTAAGCAACATCAAACATTTAGACAGTGAGCAATTTATTAATATTATCACATCTTGATTTTTTCATGTAACAATTCCACTGATTTACTGTAGTGTATTTTTGAATTCTAAGTCATTGAAAATATATTAAAAGGATTTAGTCATGATTTATATTCCATAGCATTTATATTTTTGAATGTATTTGCCACAATGACACAACAAGTATCATTCTAACAATAGCAATATTTCTTGATGGACTAGATTGGTTTTACACACATCCTTTTATCTTTTATATTTTCTTTTATCCCTCTCAAGTACTATACTGTGACATTGATGAAGACTCTGTAACCTGGATATTTCCTCAGGATATGTTGACCAATAAGATTACCAATTATTTGAATGCTCTCACCCCTGTTATTCCGAAAATGAATCCAATAATGGGCGTACTGGGCAAGTCTATTGTTCAGCAAAAGGGAGTTCTGATTAATAGACACCCGATACCCAATAGATAGATAGATACCTAATTATTTCCAAAAGTACAAAATAAGAGTACATTTTTTATTAGTACAATTAGATGTCATAAGAACCTGTTAATTTCAATATTCTTTCAATATTTCACATACTCTAGGGCATAGGAGGACTAGGAGTGCAGAAATGAATACACTTTAGGGTCTTCTGTAATCAGCACTCATAAAATGATGTACTTATAAATTCATGAATTTGAATTAATGAACAGTACTCATAAGATGATGTACTTGTAAATCTATGAACTTGTCCAGTATTCTTGCCAGGAACTTCATGAACAGCACATAAATTATTTGTACTTGTGAATTAAATATATTTGAAAATTTTATTTTCCAGGATGATTCTAGGACGAGTTACCGTCGCTCTAGTCGTAATAATGATCGCGACACACTTTCTACAGACACTAATACTACTAATACTACATCTGGTGAGTAGTGCAAGTACCAAATTGATTGTCAATCCTTAAAATGTCTCCATAATCATTGATTTCCATTGTTATACACAATTTTTCATGACATTTACAGATTGTATATAATATTAAGTTCGAGGCAGTATCTTTTAGATTGTTAAAGGGGCACCAACAATTAGCAGGAAATCTTAGTGCCCCTTGATATTTAAATAACTTCTTAATTTTGGTTATTTATTTATAAACCAACTTTAATATTCCAACTCTTGTATTGATATTTTGTTGAATTTGTGACAAAATTAACTGGAAGAAAGAAAATTCATTCAGTGTTGATCCAGGGTTGAACTTTCAACAGTTCTGACAAGTTTTAAAGAGTGTACACAATAAAACCTGCATATCCATACACCTCCAAGTCTCTAATCTGAATACCTGTGTGAATACTTTTTTGGTCCCAATTTTGTAATCTGCCAAAGCCAGCGATGTTAAAATCTTCAAAATAATAAGATCACCTAGCAATTTGAACACTTTGCCAGTCCCAGATTAGACGTGTTTTATTGCATATATAAAAAGTTACTCAGTTGCTTTAATTGTATCCTCTATCTATTTCAAGCTTATATCCCTAGAAGTTTACGTAATTCTAACCTGACTGCAACCACAACTAATAGCACAACAACTAGCAGCACAACCAGTAGCACAACAACATCAATAGCCAGTAAGGCAGAACCCACTGGTACAACGACCACTACCACACCAGCATATACACGCAGGTATCAGCGCAACCATGAAGAAGATATTAAAGAGGAAGGTATGTACTCCATGAGATCTATATAATAGTCAAGTGCAAGTCTCGTCCCCTTTTCAAAATTCCAAGAGAGCTGTGGTAAGAACCTCAAAGTTGCTTTGCTGCCAGTGGCAAGTACTTTTATCACATCACCAGAGGGATATAGTCTTCATGATTACGGAGTGATTAGCATCCCACTTTTTTAATCACAATTCCAGGAGAACTGCTCGTGACAATCAATGTTGTCAACTTTAGTGTAAAACCCTATCCTCCCCCACCTTGTCTCTGTTCCCATCCCCAACATTTTCTCTGTTCTCATCCCCCACCTTGTCTCTGTTCCCATCCCTAACCTTGTCTCTGTTCACATCCCCAACCTCGTCTCTGTTCCCATCTCCCACCTTGTCTCTGTTCCCATCCCCCACCTTGTCTCTGTTCCCATCCCCAACCTTGTCTCTGTTCCCATCCCCAACCTTGTCTCTGTTCCCATCCCCAACCTTGTCTCTGTTTCCATCCCCAACCTTGTCTCTGTTCCCATCCCCAACCTTGTCTCTGTTCCTATCCCCAACCTTGTCTCTGTTCACATCCCCCACCTTGTCTCTGTTCCCCTCCCACACTCACCCATTCTCAGTAACACTAACCAGTGTGAGAAGTCAACTATGCATGTAATGTCCAATACAATTGTAAAATGATTCTAATAATTCTGAAATTGACGCTTATGTTAAAAAAGATGATTCATGTGTGAGTGTGTGATGAGTTTTCCCTATGAGCCAACTGTAGAAATAACATTGGCTGCTGGATTTCATTCCAGTTGAACCTAATATTTGCCTATGAGATTATTAATTTTCTATTTTGATACTCATCGTTCATTATGATTTGTAAATGTGACTAGGATTGCTGTTTGTGGCGCCATCTAAATTGTTAACTTGTGAATTAGTAATATAATTTGGAAATATTTGGAGCTGAAGTTTTGTCATATGAAAACATACATTAATCAGTGACATCTTTTTATAGTACAAAATATTATTATACAAAATATACCTTGTATTTCTAAATCAACCATATTTTTGATGCATGGCTAGAGCTTATACTTAAAAAATTGATCAAACTGACATTTTATTAACTCTGTGTGTGAGGTTCAATATGGTGAATCCTGAAATTAATCACCAAAATGTTTTAAACAATTGCATTTTTATAATATTTGCCATCTTCTGGATTTCAGAGGATACCACTCCAAAATCATCAGCAATACGAGCCAGAAGAAATAGGAAAGAACGAAGACCAACTGGTATTACATATGGAGATGTAAGTATAATGTACATGCATTACCAAATAAGAAATTCTTCAGTAGCGCTATTCCATGGACTTGTCCATCCATATGAACATATATCTTTGATGTATAACAGGACTCCAATAAAGGCCTGGTCCACTTGCCATTCCCATGTTACTTTTTGTACACACTGGCTTATATTTTTCAATTTCACCACCACAAGTGACAAAATAAAAATTTAAACATAGACAAATTTATGGAAGGGGTCTTGTGTGTTATGAATTATAAAATGTGTGTCTCGAATACAAATGTCTATGCCTAACCCCTAAAATCCTTATAAACTCTTATTTTCTAGGAGGAAACAAAGGATGAGAAAGAGAAGGGGAAAGAATCAGAGGAGGAAAAGAAAGATGTAAGTACCCAGAATTCATGTATTTCCCACAATTCATTTTTCATAAAATGACTGCTAGTTTGGATCGTTACAATATGAAAATAGGCAGATTTTAACTGATAGGGTGAATATGGCATAAATGTTCAAAAATGAAGCCGATGCTTGCAATTTTCTTACAGTTATGAAGATGTACAAGTATCAGCAATCCAAAAGTGTTATTATTATTTTTTTTTTTTGCAATTATTCTTGTGGTAAATATAATGCTCATAATGATAACAACAAAAAAGGTCAACAAAACAATATTTTTTGTAAGGGTCTCAATGTCGCCAATCCCACCTGGCCAATGTTCAAGTTCATCTAACTGGAGGTACATGTATCCCTTTGATGAAGTTTGGGGTAGGCTTGAAATAAGAAATATGATTGGCCATCTGAAATGTCACATGATCAACATTAGGTGTTTTTGTAATGCCAATCCATTATCTTTTTGACAACTTATATCATTATTTTGTTTTGTTTTTCCTTGATTTGAAATGCTGAATACTGGTATAATATTATCCTAGTCAAGGTTTTGATTAAGTGAATAGAGGGGATAAGCCACGATGATATAATCGAGAATAGAAAATCGAGAATAGAAGTGTAAACAAACTTGTTGGGTCAACTTACGAGTACATTCGAATTGAAAAGATGTATCCAAACCTTGGATCACACCTTTTACTGGTGGGCATGCATACTAAGTACACAAGGTGTCATATTGTTTCAAAATACTCATCCAGATACCCCTAAGCTATTAAAACAAACATATTTTGAATTGTTAATGATGGTTTAGTGTATAGTTTGTGTCTATCATAAATTAGTTTTTTTAGTAACTCAAATGAAGTGATGTTGAGATAGTATATTGAAGTGCCGTCTCTATGATCTCTTTGAAGTTATCACTCAACATATAGGGTGAATTATATCATATGTGATATATACCAATGTCGTACGAAAATGTTCAGTAAAAATATTTTTGGGGCTTAATTATATCTCTGATTTCAATGAATCAAATCGAGTTGATTAATACATTTGTTTTTCATGGATTTTACTTCGAAAAGTTAGGAAAGTTATATGGCTGTCACTAAGTGTTTGATTTTATCAAGTGTACAAGACAACATGGATTAAAAAATGAATAGCTTTGTGGATAAGTTCATCCGGGACTTCAGGTCTGTGCGTCGAGCAGGGATTCCGACACGTATCAGTCGCAGCCTCTCTTTGGATGCAAGATTAGTAAGTTGATAGGTTATCACAAATTAAATTTCTATTGGTTTTCGTTTAAGTTGATAATCATCTCTGTTCAAAATCGTTTAACTGTGAGATTGATTCAATAGAATTACTTTTTCAATGGGTCCATATGCAGAAATGAAGTTGACCATCAGCAGATGCCAAAATGGGTATAATGTATACTTTAACATGTAAAACTCTATTTAAAATTCTCCCAAGATAAACTTTAATGAAAATATTCACAACTAGTCTTGCTTTAGACCTTGGACCCCCTCCCCTTATCTACTGCCATCTGTACAAGTCCTGACTCCAAATTGGGAAAAATAAATTGTGACAGCTCTCAGCTGTAACAAAATACAGAGCATGACAAAACAATACAAAGAGGCAGTAGTGTATATTACATGGTGCCAGATGTGATGTCATCAACCCTCATTTGCGTGCATGTTGATGCATAGTAACAAAGTATAATAGAGCACAATGCTAATTACAGTAAAACCTGCCTTAAAACTATACTTTGACTTGCAAAAAATCATTCTGGTTTGTCAGACCTTATCTTAAAAAGAAATGCAGTAACTGTAGATACAACAAGGGCTGAAACGTTCATTATCACATTCATTTACGTTTAGAGGTTTCAGCAACATTGGTGTAATTTTTGTTTGATAAAATAAAGAAAAATGGAACTGAACTAGTGTTCACATATCGATGTGTTTATTCTAGATAGGTGTTCACATTTACAAGTTTTCATGTAGTTTGTAATTAAATCACTTTACTTAAAGGTGAGACTAAAATGTATCAATTATTATATACAGATACATTACATATTCATCCAAATCCTCTAAAGAACATGCACTGTTCGTTATATGAAATAAGTTTGTTTTTGAAGGATGAGTCAGTTTTGACAAAATATGACTTGTGGATGTTCTCTGTATTCCTCCATCCAAGTGAAACCTTTCTGTAGAATTGAATTCAAAGATGCATGTTTTGTAAACATTTATGATCACAGAGTTGCCAATCTCCTTGGGTAAAAGATAAACATTTCTTGTATAAACATTATATTGAATGATATGTTTAACACCTGAGCTACTCAGTACAGTATAAAGAATTTAAGACAGCTTGGACAGTCATTTAGATGAAAGTAATAAAAATGTAACATATTTAAGACATTCATTTAGAGAATATTTCAAATGAAGATCTAATTTATTGTTTAATTATGTTCATTTACATTGAGAGTGACCATAGATTGAGTCAGGTAACTTGTTTAACACTTGGAGCAAGACATTAAACACAATATATTTTCTTGGATTATTTAAGCACGTGTATGCAATTGGATTGAATTGGCTCACACCACATCATTATAAGACATTCATATACTATTCAATGATGAAAAACAAGTTTGAGGAGGCAAAGCCCACTCCAAAGTCTCAATATTTCACAAGAATACATAATTAAGGAAACAGAATGAGTCGGATCAACCTATGGTCCAAGATTTCAGCTGAATCTCCGGTCCATGTCTAAGGATATTAAATCAAACCCTTTTTCCTGGATATCAGATCTATCTTATTTATGGTAAATGTCTGGTGATATCTCAACAAACTATGGTCAGATTGACCCATGATTCTGAAAATCAAGTTAATAAAGATCTGTAAGAATTTCTAGAGTTCTAGATAAAATATTTTTCAGGGAAATCATCAGTAAAGATTAGTTGCGAGTTAAGTGTGGGCTTTTAAAGATTAAAGTTAACCCTTCAGAAAAAATACTTTGAGTAGGTTTTTATTTGTATCATGGGGTAAAAGATTTTTATTATAATTATGGCTTCTTAAAATCTAAAAATCAAATCCATTTTATTTTTTCCATCCATTTTATTAGTATCACATACTGCTTATAAGGCTGGGTTATAAATTTCATGATTTTTTGTAAGAGATTAAGGCAGGTAAGTCAGTTACACTGCAAGCATTTAGGAAAATACAATGTTAGTACAAACACAAGCTTTCGTACAGAGAATACCTGAGTTCAGCTGGTAATTTGTGAGTATTTCTTTGCTATTTCGACATTGCCGACTACCCTGGATAAAAGACGGAGGGATGGATTAATTTTTTTTTTTTTTTGACATGCCATAATCGCTGTGGAATCAAACGTTGTTATCGTTGCAAGAATTCCATGTATTTGTTTCATCAGTTTCATGAGTGAAGCTCGGGTATATGTTACTTAAAAATATTGTTGCCGACAGAGAGAAGAGCAAACTGATAAGACACGAGGATTGGAATTCAAGATCATGGGTAACACAACATGAAACATACAATACACATAGCAAGATACAGACCATAGTCAAAACATGAACGACTATTTCAGGATTACTCCAGATTTGATGATCCCAAGCTGTACTTTTACTATATGATTGGGGAATATTATTGGATGAAATAAAAATTGGAATAATATCTGCAAAGATTGGTGATTGATGTTAGATCCCTAGGTCAAAGATCCAATTGAAGGATCTAAACAAGTGATCAGAAGATCAAGGCAAGTGATCAAAGGATCTAAGCTAGTGATCAAATGATTTAAACAAGCAATAGAAGATACAATTGAATTAATATTTCAAGATGACTTACAGTGGTCGTTATAGCGCAGGATCATATCTATATGACAAAGGACTTTATGGCTCCAGTCCATATATTAGAGACAGTACCTCCCCCTATAGGACTGGTATCAGCTATTCAGGGGGCATTCCCAGCTCTGGCTACTTGTCAAAGTCCAGTTCAACGAACAGTATTAACAGCTTAGGAAGTGGTGTAAGTCTAAAAGTTTCTTCAGTCTTCAGCATTTTTACTACTGTAAATTTGGTTAATTTGTTATTTTGATTCACATTTTCATCAGGTGACTCCAAGCAGAGTATTTAATTTGGCAGATTTTTCTGAATTAAAATAGATTGTAAAAGACTTTGAGGTAGATTTGAATAAGCAATCATGTGCAGAATTGGTTGATATACCATATTAAAGCACATACCAAATTAAAGATTGTGCCTATTAAAAACATTTAGCATTCATCTTGATAGTCCTAACTTTTTTTACCCTGAATCAAATGTTTTCTAAAACAGCTGGACACAGAATTTTTTCGATCTTATCAAAACCTTTTTTTTCTTACCAACTATCTTTCACCATGGCAGGAACCTTACTAGACATCAACCTTTTTTTCTCACCCGAACCAAACATTTTGCAGTGATCTGAATTCTGAACACTGGAAAGCTACCATTGTGTTTTGACATACCTCAACAGATTTTCACTAGATATTGTTTTTCCAGAATAATTGTTCATCCATTCATGATGGAGTAAAATGTTATCTCTAAAGGGATGGATGTTGTTTGAAAGGTGAGCCTTACACAGGTGATGCCTTAGAATCCAACTATGAATGAACATTTGTTAATTTCTCCGATCTGCTCAAGGTCTGGATTCTATACATATAGTACAATGTACAAATACAGAAAAGGTTGGGTCAGTATGAGAATTACTTCTTCAGCCAAGCTGATAGTTTGACCAAAACACCTAGATTCGAATTAACTTCAGATCCTGATATTACCCCCCCCCCATCTTATATTATTGCGCTATCTACACATGAACTATTTAACAGTTCTCAGCATAATTCAGATTCAGACTCAGGAATGATAAAATGTGCTGACTCAGCATTTCTGAGTCTGATTCACAAATGTCACCAATCAATTATTGCATGTCTAGGGGTCTCCTTCAAGTATCTGAAGTCACTTTGAATCTAGGTGTTTTGGTCAAATGCCAGCTTGGCTGAGGAGTAAATGATCATCAAGTGCTGTTATTATTAATTGAATTGAAGGTTGGGGTTAAGTATATTTTTTGTGTGATGCCATTAATTCTTTGTTCTTTTAGATCTAGACCTATCAGTTTTTTGTTTTGATTTTTTTTGAAGAGGTTAACATAGATAAAGCCCAAAAAATTAGAGGAACCAAATCTGAGGTATTTCACTAATTTCTATTTACAATTCAGCTGTATTTTATTCTAAAGTTGCATAATGCCAAAACCATTTACTTTTTGTATATTAACAACCATCAAAACTATCATACAACCATACCCAGACCCATTGTTGAATTTTTCATTGAACCTTATATCTACAATCTACATGAAAATTCTTAAAATCAGAAAAGTGAAAAATTTCCACACAAGTTTCCTGAATAATGGAATGCAAAGATGCAAACATATGTTAAAGCTGCTGTTTTGACAGAATAATGATAGAAATGCTTTGAAAACTCAGATACTAATGTTCTGAATGGTAGAGATTATATGCTCTGATTGTTGATTCACTGCATATATGTCTAATTCTCAAGGTAGTGGCCCAAATATTTGAAAAATACAGAGATGGTAGTTCAGCTGGTAAAATATGTGATAGGTACGGCTATTTATTATTTGGGAGTTTTAGTTTTTCTAGTTCAAACTTTTGCCCCATATATTGAGGTATGCACGGAAAGCTTGTATCAGATCAGCATTTTGACATTGTAAATTTTAGGATTGCAACGTTTCAGCGATATTCCCATCTGATTTGGAGTAGAAATGGAATGTTATTCTAACATTTCAAAGTTTTTTCAAGCTAACAAAATCAGACTTTAGATTTCGAATAAGCCAACTTTCAGTTACATTTTCATTGCAAGTTACAGGTAGAAGTGGAATTGTAGATCTGAACTAACATATAGCAATTAACTAATGGCTAATTCTGGTAAATCTCAAGTACGCCTTTCCTTATATCTTATCAAAATAAATAGGCAGTTTCTTGCAGAAAGGTTTGATTGTCATTTGAAGTTTTTACAAAAGGATCGAAAATTAAGAAAGGTAAAATTAATGGAAATTATCATTTTAACATCCACATAATTGGACTTTTCCTATAAACAACAATCGTTTTGCTAAAAACAGCAAGACAAATAGCCAACTGTTCATGAAACCTCAGCTTGTAAATGAATTGAGTTTGAGGCCCAAGAACTTTGATATTTTGTGAGGCTGTGTGTTAGACTGTATACTGGTAAATACGGTAAATATACACACTGATCTTGATAAGAAATAGAATGATAAATCGTCTGAAGGAATGCTGCCACTACATCAGATCATCACCCAAACCTAATCTTACGCAATAGTTAGCATACCTTTTGAAAAAATGCAAGGCTGGATATCTCTAAGAACAATTTGGTTTTTGGGAGTTAATGATGCAAAGCTCCCACCCTAACATTGCAAGAAAATGCTTGTTTGGTCATGTTTTCATGTTTTACATTGAGGAATAGTGGAGGGTGGAATTTTCAAAACATAGAGAGTAAACTGCTTGAATTGAGTCAAAATGTCAAAGATAGCAGAGAATGAGAAAGATTATTCAAACATCAAAGAGAAATAAAGTAATAATTTGCTCACTTCAATATATCAAAAATCAAGTTTGTTCTTCATGAAAGAATTCCGAAAATATATGGAAAATCTGACTTGAGCAATAATGGTTTTGCAATCCTAAAAGTCAGTTTATCTGAATTCTAGTGATAGCTAGCTATGACCTTATTTTTGCATCAAAATGGTCATACATATGTAAGCACAAGTGCAAAAGGGAAAGGACCAAGAATTGTTACAGAACCCAGCAAGAAAAAGAATACATAAATACATTAAAGTGCACACCAGATATAAGGAAAAACAAACCCCAACTATCCCATACCATAATCAAATGTAAAAAGAAATAATGTCTAAAGCCCCCCTCATGAAATTTATAGTATACTCATACTTGATCATTAAGGACTTGATTCCCTTCCACTAATATATGATGAATCCATCTAAGAGTTATGCAAAAGAGAATTAAATCTGTAAGATATGTCATGTAAATGTACATTGCCCAACATCTATTTTGATTCATTTCTTTGCACTCTACGCTTACAACTAAACCAAAAATGCTGTTAGCGTAACAGACATACATGGCAGACATACGGAATTAGACATAATACAGCCGCATAGATCTAAGAATACTGTGCCAAAATAACCAGGTAACAAATGTGCACTTCTATAGGTTTATTTTGGGGCTTGTTACAAATTCAGCAGCTTATCTAGGCTAATGCCTGACACTGTGTTTAATATCTACTTCTGGAACAACCCTCGTATAACTGCATCTGTATCTCTGTCCTGCATCAATCCATATAATACTTTTGTTTACAAATCAGAATAAACTGATTTGATGTTCAATTTAGAGTTGGACAACAACACTTTATTTCATATCTCGTTCATTCCAGTCGTTGGCGCTATTTTAAGCTTTAATGTTTGCCTGAGTGAAGCTAAATTTAGCTTTTAAATGATCTGTCTATCAACAGACAAATCTAGATTAACTCAGTCAAAACCTTGTTCCTTTCTATTCTTAGGAATACATGTAGTGCTTACTGATCATCAGTTGTTGAAAAATGAAGTTAATTTCGTATTGGTTTAAACCCCCCCACCATCTGATCTAACGAAATCAACACTATTCACTAACAACCATATTGATACCAATCCTTTATTCGTGCCAAATTAAGTTGACAAACAGTACTAGTATTTAATTTAAGTTTAGAGCTCCAAGCATAAATTGTAAGACAGCAATTCGACTCAGTGTATTGACAGAATAAGGGGAATAGCATTTAAGGAGACTGATTAGTCGGACACAGAACTCAACAACTCTTTGATATCTACAATTATAATTACAGTAAAACCTGCATAAAGTAAACACCTATGGAGTTACAAAAAAGTGTTCACTGTATGTAGAAGAAGGCAAAAATAAAATATTTTTGTAACAGAAGGCAATGTAAAATGTGTCTTGAAGTGGTGTTCACTAAGACAGGTTTTACTGTAAAAGTAAAGCCTGTCCGATCTGAGTGCCATGAGGATGTGCTATAAGCATTCAAATTAGGAGGTGTTCAGATTTCGAGGTTTTTTCAGCCGCAAGATTCTGGATTATGAAGAAACATAAATGCATTCTCAACGAATATTTGTATATCTATTGACCACATAGCTTTAAGGCATTCCAAGATCCTATTCAAATGAATTTAGTCATTCTAGAAAGACCCATTATGAGACAATTTGATGTTTTTTCAAAAGTTTTGATATAACAAATCAGTGTTGAAAACATTTGAGCAATTTTGTAATGAATATATGACATTTTGAGAATAGGGTTCAGATTAGACAGGTTAATTTTCAAATATGAGCATTCACTGTTAGAATAAGTAGGTGTTCAGATTTCAAATTTTTATCATTGGATTCAATAGGAGGAAAATTGGGACTGGAAAAGTGTTTAGATTTGAAGGTCTTCGGATAAGCCAGGTGTTCGGATATACAGGTTTCATTGTACTGTATATAGAACAATGCAATCATTTGCATTTACTAGTATAATACTTCCAAAGCATGGATTAAAAATTTCTCCCAAATGCAGTTCAGTTAAAACAATCAGAGTCTTGTGGTTTAAAATAACAAACTGCATTTATCAGCCATTTGGAAGATCAGCTTGTATGCTTGGAAGGCACTCAGCTCTGATAATGAATGATTTGCTCTAGAAATAGATAATGATGCCTTCATTCTTCTGTTCTACAGACTGATTAAAACATCATCATTCGGTCATGGATATCTTAAGCTCTGCCAGTTCCCTCTGAAATAAAGACAAAGTACCTAATTTAGGAATTTTATGGATGATTTGGATGTTGTCTTATGCCATAGTGCATTTTTTTATTGCCAGTTGCGTTCTGTACCTTTTTATATAGAATAGGCTCAATATGAATGTGCCTCAGATGTGAACTCCAAATATAAATTCTATCTGATTTTATCCTTCAGAGCAGACATATTTTTGATTAAGTTTCACCTGTTGTTTTGTGTCTCATCTTTACAAGTTAGTTGATGTAACATATTTCCCTCTGGATATTTCCTTTATCCAAAACCTCCAATTGGGACAAACCAAAAGTGATGTTCATCTTAACAAGACTGGTCTATGGCAGGTGTTCACATTTGGAGGTGTTCAGATAAGAGAGTTATTTGGATATACATGTTTTACTATAGTGTATTTATTTACTACATTTCACATTAAAGCTCATGTTTTTTGTATTTTTTTATTTTCAGACAAGCTCAGGGTCACGCTACAGTTCACGTTATAGCTCAACAGATACGCCATCTACTGATCGTTATGCTTCCACGACAGGTCGCTCAGCCAGCAGCGACCGCCCAAGTTCCTACGCAGGATATTCCCGTCAACCTGTGACATCAACGTCAGAGAAAGACTTTAAGAAAGTGAGTTCAATGCATGTTTCTTGCATGAAGAATAGATTATGAGATTAAGATTAATGAAAATGGGATTATGGGTTTATTTACATGGGGTTACGATTTCATTTCCCAGTTGTTCTCCTTGGATAGATACATTTTTCAGTAGAGCCCAAATGTGATAAAAAACATCTTTAATGCTGGGAGATCATATCTTGTAAATTAAAATATTTATTTGTTGTTCATACTTTTACCATTGATTTATAATTGTACATTGTATTGTATGTTGTCTTTGCTGTCTGTTTGTTATACGTAGATGTCTCATTATTTTAGTGGGCTAGTACACCAGACTTGGAAGAAAGCTCTTTACCCACAAGGAAACAAAATCTCTTCAAGCAGGTTGATTGTTATGTTGAAAAATATCAACCATTTTACTTTTAGATGTTATGTTTTAACCATTTATATTATACACCCCTCTAAAACATGATGGTCTGTTAAATTCATGTTTATCTTTAGAAGCAAATGTAAACATGAGTTTGACATTTTACCTGTTGGTGAAAGGTACCATAAATCAACCATTGATTTTAAATGACAGACTTCCTGGATTAACCTTTGATTATTGGTGATTTTATTGGGAGACAATTCTATATGTCAACCATTGATATTTGGAGGAATGTTCCATAAGTCAACCATTGACTCAAATAATGTTCCGTGAGTCAACAATTGATTGTAAGAGACAGGCTCTGTAAATTAAATTTTGCAACCATTGATTTTAAATCTTGTTCTAATTTTTCAACTCTTACAAACCATTGATTATGGAGACATGTTCCATAAATCAACCATTGGTGGTGACCTGACCAAGCTGTTGTCCCAAGGCCCCAATCCTTAAAATTATTGTGAAATTAGTTGTCACTTGATAGAATGTCAGTAGCATAACATAATTCAGGATACTTTTTAGAAATGGCTTACAGATCAACAGTTGATGACACTTTCCACAGATCAACCATTGTTCACTGATTTAATCAATTTGTACAATTATTGTTGTTGAAAATTTCCTTATAGGATTCTTGACGTTATCAACTACGTTGAGATTATTATTTCACCAAAAATGTATAACGAGTCATGACACAACTACCTCATTTCTATCAAGTGGGAAACAACCTATTTCAACCCTCATTTAACAATCCCCAATTTTTACTCTGTTTAAATTTACCACTAAAATGCATTTACTGACATTGTAGGTGGTAAAAAAGTTGATAATATGTATTAATGTATTAAAGCATTAAAATATAAAAGTATCATTTTATTTTAGAATTATTGTCAAGAATATACAGTACTTAGAAAGGCCCATGTGGACCAGTCATTCGTTATCTAATCATAATTACATGTATATTGCCTTACTTAAAATGCAAAGTGAAGTTTAAAAAATCAGAACTGAACAAAATTTATTATTATTTATTTATTATTTATTCAATTAATTAAAGAAACAATTGAAATTATTATATGAGCAAATGTCTATTCTTACCTATTTTCTTGATTCAGTTATATGAAGAAGAAAAGTCCGAACATGAGAAGAGCAAAGAGGAGCTAAAGGCAACACAACGGGAACTTCGGGAAACAAAACTAGAGCTTGATAGGATACGACGTGGAGAGAGAATGGCTACTGAATCAGTGTCCGATAGACGGGTATGGTTCAAATACTTTTGTTGAGAATTCACTTTATGTGGTGTATAAATGATTACTGACTGAATATGTAGTTTCTTCATCTTTGTAATAAATGTTAGTACGTGATTATTACAAGAACTTGGATACAGCCAGATTTGTATTGTGTTTTTATGTACTGCATATGCTCTTTTAAAAAAAAAGTTCTTAACAGTATTTGATTTGATTAACGACATCTATGGTCCAAAGTAAAGTATTATAACATTACTTCTACTGTATTTCAGGAACGGCGGCAACTAGAAAGAAAACTCTCCGAAATGGAAGAGGAAGTTAAAGTGAGTATAATGCTTTACATCCAATAGATACTCTGGAGATAGAGCTAGTATTGTGTGTCATATCTAAAATTATTAAGAAATCATTTTTTATTTCAAAGTGCCTCTTGAGGATTTCAGATATGCTGGTTAAAATTAAATTACGGGTCATTTCTGAACATAATAGAAGAAAGAAATACAATTCCTGAATTTAATTTTACTTCCTCATAGCCACAGCAGATTTGTTATGAATTGGCAATTAATATGCACAGTTTGTGGTCAGAATTAAAGTATTTTATTATTTTCATTCACATTTTCTCTTAAAATACACACCTTGACCCTGTTTAATTTGGAGTCTAGTATCAAAATCTCAAATAATCCTTGAATTTTCAGTCGGTTCCAAAACTGAAAGCTGAAAATGCAAAATTAAAAGAGGAAAACAGGGCCTTAAGTAGAGTTGTCTCTAAACTCTCTAAATAGGTAACCATCAGAGCCATCTTTATGTGGTCCCAGGCACTAAACCCCCTACCCACTAAAATAAGCATTCACATTTTACAACTTTACACTAATTGTGTAGTGAAGACTTCTTAGTGAAAGTATCAAAAATACATCAGCGGGATGTTCAAAAAATAGTTGGGAGTAGGCTGTGGCTTTTGAAATTATTTTGAAAATTGTTTTTTAGAGCTCTTGGTGCTTGTTAGGCCGAGAATATTCAAAACTGAACTGTTGATGCCATTTAAGACAGACTTTCTATATATTGCATATGGCGGGTTTAGATCCTTTATGCTTGGAATTTTGCTACATTATTTGATTGTTTTACATTTGTAAGCATGCCAATAATGTAATGCTATCATCTTGATTGAACATCATATTTTGCATACTCACTGCAGAATCCTTTAATAATGTTATTTCTTGTTAATTAAATTTCTCCATAAATGTCATTATATTTGTCCCACATAATCAAATGTGACTTAATCAATGTTTAATCTTTGTTTCTTTGTCCTCGTAATGTTTCTTTGATGGTCAATGTTACCGATTGTGTTAACTCTTGTTTCATTCTCCTTGTGCCATTCCCTTCGGCTCTCTTGGTACCAGTCATATCCTGGTACCAGTCATATCCTGGTACCAATCATATCTATTCTCTTTCAAGTAGCACCAGCCCTGTTAATTATTTACTAGTAACTCAATGTCACATTATAGAAGGAGGGATATTTTGGTTTTCCTGAATTTTATATCCCTTATTTTAAGCCCAAGCTTATGACTGATGATCTGGAGGACTAAAAGTTTTATCGTAAACTAGACATATAATTTTTGGCTTCTGATACAATATATTTTTGGGCTTTATACCTTTACATACTATAGATGCTTCTTCTAGAGGTAGATAATATTTTGGGGGAAATCACAGTACAACACATATGTGAATACGTGAGACACAGTGTGAACATCTGAGCGTGTGCATATATGGTTTGAAAGCATGGAAACACGTCATTTGACAATTTAATGGAAAAGAAATGAAATCTATAAAATTAGATGTGTGTACTTTGAACTTAAAAAGTGTAGATATACACAGAATTTTTTATTCCACTGAACGAAGTTTGAGATGGATATGGAGAAACTGTTCATCCCTCCCTTCATTCATTCGTTTGATCGTTTGTTCAATCATTCATACTTCTTTATTCGATTAAAAGTTTTGTTTGTTGGGATTTGCTACTCTGAAGAGCTGCTGCTTTCAAATTGCACCTGTGTTTCATCCAATTCAACAAAAGTATATTTGCATCATATATTTGTTTGTTCCAACATGAATGATTTATCGTGAAGCATTTTAGTTTCATCACTTATATCCGTCACATACACTGCCATCTTTCTTTCAGTTACCATTTATTAAACTTGTACAATCATATTTGGCTGCACAATTGTGTTATATCTCATTGCCTTGTTGTTATACTTTTTTTTATCAATGGTCCGCATACCCACTTCATTTTAATATTGTCACTATAGTTCTGTCACATACATAAACATTCCTGTCACATCCTAGATATTCCCGTCACATCCTAAACATTCACATCACTTATTGTTGTCTAGGTTAGATAGATTTTTATTCATCATATCACATTTAGAGAATATGACACTTAAAGAAGTACAGACATGTTCAGGGAAATATGGGCATGTTCAGGGAAATATGGGCATGTTCATGGAAATATAGACATGTTCAGGAAAATACATTAAAAGTGTGTTCAGGGAAATGTTCAGGGAAAAAAGAACATGTTTATAGAAATATGAACATGTTCATTAAAATATAGACATGTTCAGGTAAACACAAACATGTTCAGGGAAAAAAGAACATGTTCACGGAAATATGGATACAACGGCCCTGTTTTTCTAATTTTGCATTTTACAAATAATACTTGAGACTAAAAATGTTTGTAACTACTGTGCTAGTTTATATGTTTTAAATTACTAATTAAATGCATTGTAGTTTTGATTCGTTTGAAATTGCATTGTTTTATAAATTATTTTTCAGGTATTTAATTATTAATATTGGATGAGAATTCTCAGTATGCTTTTATAGTTTATACCCATTTAAATCTTCGAAAAATATTTTTGTCAGTCACTTTTACCTAAAATGAACAGCAAGTCAAAATATCTCCAGTGTCACAATACAACTGATAAAACGATATTATTACCATAAATGTCATTTTCAGTCTCGTATTTATTTTTGTTACAATTGCACTCTCCATTTGTTTATTCAATAAATGTCACCACCAATAAGTTGTGACGTATTCTTAAAGCCAACATTTTTGTGACTGATTTACTTTCAATTTTTCAGCTAATGGAGCAACTAAAACAAGACAACCAACGACTAAAAGAAGAAAATGGTGCGCTCATCCGAGTCATAAGCAAACTTTCCAAATAACACACAAATAGGAAATATTCTATTAATTGCTATTTAACCTGTAACTTTTTTATCATGTCAAAACATACAGAAAAATCTGACTGGTGTGTGATTGTGATTTGTGTACTCATTGTGTCTTTTGAGTATATGCACTCAGAAGACTGAGTGGATCTGTATGTGTAGTTTGATATGGGAAATAACACTCAGTATTGGGACTTAACTTATTTGCATTGATGTTTTAAATAAACACTTTTATGCAAGATTTTATTTGATCTCCAAGTGCTGCATGTTGTCTACCATGATTCCTTGAGGATGATTATGTATGGTTATTATCATTCTCTGTAGGATAGCAAGACAGCATGTAGCATTTTGGTGTCATCCATAATTTGTATAATTTGATATATAACCCTAAAATTATAGAATTATCACATTGTAATTCAAAAGCTTATAAATGCAAAATAGTGTATAAGGTCAGGTTTGGTGTTGCCCAATAGGAATAACCTTTGACGTGCAATAACCAATCACAGATGACTTCAAATGTCACATGATTAAACCGTCTTTTACTATTGGTAACTTCTACCTGTCAATCACCCAATCAGTTTTTTCATGACCAATAAGAATCTGGTTGAGCCCATTAATCAAAGGGGTGATAGTATACTTGCATTGCCCTTTGACCCCTAGTCAATAGACTTATCGAAGGTGCTTCCAGCCAAGATTTAGAAAATGTATGTACTGTATATTATCCATATTCCTTATTAAAGTCAATCCCTTGTGAAAAACTCAATGATTTCATACTTTGAAAATTTGTTTTGTGTTAAAACATTGAGTTTTTGATGAAAAACTGAGTCAGACAGGGACAGCAGATTTTAGGAGTTATGCTTATATCCAAACAATATTCTGATATATGTATGTAATGTAATGTACAAAAATAACTTAATATTATGAATTATATGCAGGAGACATTCGAGTCTTGACAATGTGTTCAAGCCAATTATAAAGGATTTTAAAATTATGCAAAATTACTCCAATAATTGCTTTAAGTGCTTTAAATTTTAAGCTGGCACTGGCAGTCATAAATTTACCTCAGCTGAGTCATAGGATTAATAATGCATGACTATATAATGCATGACTATGGCCTAGTTGATAATAGAGAGGTGTTAAAGGTTTTTGTGAAAATAACTCCAATTTGAATCATCTCAAATATGCAAGTTGAAATGTGTTGTTTGTTGAGAAGGGTTGTGTTTTGTGAACATTTGGATGTGGATTTAACAGGTTATCTTTGATACCTCAATATGTGTTAAAGAAAATATTGCGTTTGTTAGTTGCAACCTCCCTATAGTATATCCTTTAGAAAGATATGTGTTCATTTTGTTGAAAGGGTTCTAGTATTCTGCGCTATAAGACTTGACTCAAGAATTTTGAACTAATTCTGAAAGACTGCTATTATAAAGCTAATCGCTAAGTTTGCTTCTGCTGAGAACCTGTACCATGACAAATTTTGAAAAAGTTTTACAAAATCAACTGAAGGTGTAAGCCAGTATACGGCAAATCCAGTCAAAGGAGGTTAGGATTTCCCATCATACACCATTGCCTCCATTCACAAAGGAGCTATTGTAAATCCCATCATACATTAATCTAATAATGGTTGTATTGTACATAGATATAAAGCAGGCAGTATTTACATTTTAAACTTAATCAAAATGTAATTATTATTTAAAGAGTTTTAACTTAACTTTGTCTGGATTATGCTCTGAGGCAGAAAAGAGATTTGGAAATGTATTATAGAACACTAATATGTTAATATCTGGAACTGTACCGTATAAACCTTATACACTATTACAAATATGGTATATAATAATAAATTGACTCGACATTGGCTAGTTGTATTGATGCGTGACAGTATATTTAAGTCACGCAAACCATGTTTGAATATTGCCATATATACCAAGTTTAAGCACTAATTTCTGTAGCTTTGATTCATGTGTGAATTTGCAAGCGCTAATAGGCGAAATGTGATCACACTAATGTATATTATAATCATTTGTGAAGTCTGTTAAATATCTGTTCAAATTCTCTGATTTCAAAAATCTGGGAATGTCCCTCCAAGAAGGTGGTTGTTTTAGTTTCTATAGTAACCAGTGTTTTTCTGCCCATTTAATGCGTAGGTGTTTAAATGTGGATCCTTTGTTTAATCTATTTATATTATTAAACTGGCCGAAAGCCATGTATATACTGAATTTTGGTGAATTTATTTTTGATAGCACTTTTTAAAACTCAAGTTCATGTACGAGAACTTTGAGCCTGTACATTTGTAATATAGAATGAAACTCGACTACTCTAATGATAATAATTACGAGGAAAATTTCATTGCAGAGAATTGCTCATGGATGTCTTGATTTTGTATATGAATGAACCTCATATGATGTTCATGAAGTTCATGAGATTTGTAATGAACGCTAACTGATGTGAACAGAATGCTGCATTTTATATACTGGCATAATATTGATTACCATATTTGGAAGTTCCCGAAAAGTGAAGCACATGGTGTTTAATAATATCTACAAATCATCCAAAATTATACCTTTTTTTAAAAAAAAGTTCAATGTGTCATTACTGTTATTGTCAGAATACCGAAGCATTTGTCCTATTCCATATACTTTCATTCAATGATCTCACGTTAATTTTTTATTATTACTTAATGGAGTGGGCTTATTAAACCATACAACCAACCAATATCAGTAAAGAATATGACAGCAGCAGATTTTTTTATATATCACGTCATGAGACAAAAAATACATTGCAGTTCATAGGTTAACATTTTGTACATACTTGCAAACACAAAGAATTTTATATAAAATATGATGTAACTATATATACTTTTTCATTTTTAAAGGGTATATTATTATATAATTGTTGAAACCCCAAACGTGTACTATTTTTAAGAAATTAATCATTTTTATACAAGCTACATGCCAGAATTTTACAATTGTACCATATATAACCGAATTATGTGGACTACAGATTAAGGGGTGGTTTTAAACCTCTAAAGCTGCAGCCAACATAGTATATTATAGCTTTTAGGAAGCAGGGTTCGCAACCTTGACCTTTTGGTTTGCAATTGGTAATCCTGTTTTCAAGGCTACTTGATGGGAGTTCAAGGTGAACATTTTTTCTCTTGCTGTTAAGAATTTAACTATGTACACCAGTAGCTATCTCTGTGTTGAAAATCCTCCATAGTTCTGTACAGTTGCCTTATGGGTAACAACCCACATTGTTGCCATGGTAACATTGTTTGTTTACCCTAGTAACAGTAGATTTCTATTGAGATAAACGCAGTGAGATGCCTCCTTTTCTGACACGCTGGAGACAAGGCTTGTATTTAGTGGAAAACTTGCAACAAGACATCTAAGATTCACCTGGATCTCTCATTGTTGTTGCCTCCATCAAGTTGGTCCCTTAGAGACGCAGTCATTGCGTTTCTATGGGACATTCTAGGTGGAGATTTATTGATGTGTGGTAATGAGGATTCTGAGGGTGCATCAGTAGCGCCTGGAGGTGATCAGTCCTGGCCTGGGGGTCAGGCTGCAATCGGTAGAGACCCCTGGGTGGTTCCAGAAGCCCCTTGTGCGCCTCCCTAGCTGACACGTTGGACCTAGGGCCTGCATCCTCACACCCTGATTGTCACACATCCCATCTCAAATAGCACACCACATTTGCAAAATGATTCATATTTTTCAGGTTTATGAGTCATTGTGATGTCATAGAAGTTGTTTTAGTAACCTAGGCACAACATGTCAAAAATTGTATACTTCCATACAACTAACTGATGTGTAGAGGTGTGAAAAGCATGAATCGTTTTGCAATTGAAGTTACGGGGTTTTAACTTTTATACAAAGTTACCCTTCAAGTAACAGTGTTGAGATGTGTCTATCAAGTGTAATATTTTATTTTAGTTATATTCTCCCGAGAAGGAGATTTTTTGTTTTATTTTATTCACCCCGCACTGAATGCGATGGTATTTTTCCTGATCATCTACGTTTTCATGAACTGGAGTTGGTACAATGTGTTCTTTTGTATTTATAGTTTGGGCTGAATGACATCTTTATGAACACCAGTTGTCGCTGGCGCTATCATGTTGTTTGTTTCAGTATGAGATTTTTCCTACCACTGATGCATTTGTAGCATGATCTCTTCAGAAGAGGGGACTCTATTCAAAGTTGGGTTTTGAATGTCCTTGCTTGAATCGACTTTCCTCTGTGTACCTCCTTATGTGACACGATGGACATAAGGCTTGTTCATGATTTGAAAAAGTTCAACCCAGAAGTATATACAGGGGTTACATATTGTACTACATGGGCTTTTAACAGACAAGCTGAATTGAAACTGTCATAATGCACCTGTGTGACCTGTCATATCAACTCATACATGTAATCTTGGAATTTTAAAAGAATTCTGGGATATGTATATGACACAATGTGGCGGGAAGCCTCTCCAGGTGACACGATGGACCTGGAGCTTGCACTATGACATCACTTCGGTGTCTGCTTCCTTATCACGTTTTCTCAGACATGCATCATTTAAATGATATGTATGGCTTTCAAGGGATTTTCAGATATTTTTTCGGACATAATAGGACAAAAAATAAAACCACTTAGTAAATTAGTTAATGTTGTCTCTAATTGCTCAAATTTTGTCCATTGTCCATATTACTCAATATATTCAGTGTGGGGCTGAGTAAAAATTGTAGTTTTAAGTGTATGCTTGACTTAATTTGGTCACTGTGCTTTAGTTCATTGCTGTATGCCATAAACAGTTTACTGGTGGTGACTCCATGAATGACACGTTGGATTCATGGTGAGCGCAGGAGCCATACTGTCGAGTGTATTCCCATCCAAGATGGATGAACTTCCTGCAAGTGTTGCATTATGGGTAAAATTGATCTGGTGATGAATTCTCTTCATAATGTCACTTTGCTGGATGGCGAGTCTTTGACAAATTCAGAACCAAAATGCTTTTTTTTATGTATGGAATATTGTAAATATTGCTTAGTTGTGTAGATACATAGTGCAAAATGAATTTGTCTCGGACTGGCAACAAATGCATGTCATTGACTATTCTAGCTTAATACATGTGCTATTTGCTATTTTATGAATTTTGGGACAAACACAACCCCATATGCCTTTATTACATTATACTCCAGCTCTTGTGAACAAAACTTTTCAACATGTTTTAAGCGGTGGTCACAAAAATTAATTTTCCTCAACAGAAAATTTCTCATGCATTTTTTCTCAACAGCTTTTTGCCTTGTAGTATCACATTTTCAGAATGTTCTATAATTTGGTACTTTTCAAGAAAATCTGTGACTGCTGTTTGTAATTTTGTTGGAACGAACAATTCCTTTGAGTTATCCCGGCAGTATTATAGTAGTTAGTGAGAGGGTGTATTGTGTTGCAGGGGCAGCTATCTTCACCAAAATGATGTAGCATACAAAGTACAAAGCTAAAATAATCAGTGGTCTCCATGACCTTGACCTCCACATCAAGGTCATGGTGACACAGGCATGGTGGGTAGCCTAAACACCTAGGCCCCATTATAACAATTGGCTTGTTATGATGGTCCACTGTGCCAAAAACATGCCACATTAGGTCAGATGAACCATTGGACCACATCATCACGTTGATGTGCTCTAGTTGCAAAGCATTTAAACCATATACAAAATATTTTTTGGTTGCTATTGTAACCAAAAGCTATGGGTGGATATGGTTGGATGACCACGCCTCCTTAGGTGACACGTTGGATCTAAGGTTAGCATATAGATGTTATATGATGGTACCATTGGTTGTAGTGTGCAGGAAATCACTGGTTGCTATAGAAACTGTATAATCGATTCACTGGTATTGATGGAGACATGACTTGTTGTTGTAATGAAGAATGAATTTGAACAGATGAAATACAGATTAACTTTACATTGTGTGGTCACAGAATATACCTATGGATAAGGCCTGTGTTACATGCAAATATTTTATACTCTGAATACTAGGGTAGGTTTTCTACCATTGTCGTAGCAACAGGCTAGTTGTCATAGCAACGTGCATGTTGCTATGGAGGTTTGATTTACTTTGTAGATACAAGTGTTATAGAGAAAATGTATTCATAAGTAATTAAACTAAGTTGGTATTGTAATGAAAATATAATCTTGTTTGTTGATTTATTCATAATTATTGACATGAAAATTCTGATTTGATGCTGAATGAATGGATAAAAGGTTAGAATACCATGATTTGAGAAACAGATTGGAACTAAGAACTGTCACTGTAGCCTATACCCTCTAAATTAAACGCTGGTATTTTGTCCAATTTTCAACATCTAAACACTACCCCTTTGTGGCTTCATTCATCAACTACGCAGTAGATGAGCATGGTGTAAATTTGGTATTGGAAAATAGCAAAAATTTGGTATTGAAAAATAGTAAATTTCTCATTATTTATCATATAAATGATTGACCTACATACTTATTAAATGAGAAAATAGCTGAAATCTCTTAAATTGTTACATAAAATATTATGATCTTGAAACTAGGAGTTTGTATTCACACCCCTATTGACTAACAAACTTCCTTATTCAAATATCACTTGAGGTGGTGTTTTTCTGTCAGTTTGGAATATTTCGTAAGAGTGTAATTGATTGATGCATCTCCTGCAATAATATTATTAAATCCATCGCATCATAAAAAAGCAAAATAAACATGACACTAACGTATGCAAAATGTCACTACCGGCCATTTGTTGGAGACTGACTTTCGGACACCAACCACTGAACATTGTTCACCAAGTCATCTCTTGATTTTTGGCCTACCTTTTATATTACTTCTTGATGTCATTTGACCCCATCAACCCCATGTTTAAATGGGTATTGCATGAATGAGGACAATCAGTTCTGAAAATCTTACAATGAATGTTATGCAAAAAACCTCTTGTTAAATATGCCTACATGTAACTCATGCGTGAAATCAGATCATTCATACAGCACTGTGCATATATTAATGGACAAACCCAGGCCCATAGCCAGCTTTTGTCAAGGGGGTTTTCTTTTCAAAAAAAATTCAGGGGTTCCTGAACCCACACAAAATAAAAAAAAATGGTAAAAGTATTCAGTCCCTCCCATTGTTTAAGAACTAGGGGTTGACCTCAATATGTTCCCTTCAGTTTAGGTTAATGGTCTAACTTTTTGATAATTATACAAATCAATGCATGTTAAATGTTAATGACTCAGATGGGAGTAGGTCATTGGGTTGGTATAGTATTTTAGTGGTTCAATTTTTATATTACCTTTTTGTATCTAATAGTCATTCAAATTAAAACATGTTCAATAAAAGAAAATGTTATCTGTCCAATACAAGAAAAGAAATTGTTTTTTTTGTGATTTTATAGAAACTCCCCAAACTAGAAGTCACATTTTCAAAAAAAATTAAATTTTCAAAGTTGATAAACAATGTTACTATCACTTTGTGCAATGTTTCTCCAATTTTTGTGTAATCATGACCCTGGCCTGATATATTCATGGGCTTTCTCTTGAAAGCCTGTGATATATTTTAACAATATATTCACAAACCTTGATCTAGGATAGGAAACAGTAATAGGTGTAGAAAGAGAATGATAAGGAATATTTTACAGTGGTCCCACAAAAAAATAACGAGCATATAAGACAATACAAACACCAAAAGACAACAGATCCCCCCGGCAGAGCCCCCATGGGCAGATGGGTGTTAGACTGAGAACACACTGCACAAGCACAACCTGATACAAAATAATAAGCACTTCAGACTATTTATTAGAAATCACTGCAATGTATTATCAATCATAGTACAATTAAAACATTGTATGTACTTGACAATAAGATACCTCATTAAATTGATAACTACCATGGCAAAGCAATAAATGTATCAGATTGTGTTATCATATTTTGATTGTGCGGCGTGCACCTGTTGACCTTTGACCCTAAAGGTAAACTTCCGGTCTGAATGAGAACGAGGCTGATGTCATTCAGAAAGAAAACATTTGACACATGTTCTTATGCTGCCTAAAATAATTCATTAATCATCATTTATGGCGATAAAACGGAAATAGAATAGCTAGATACATGCGTTACATATGAATTCATGAATTGAGTAAGCAAGACAACCGACCAACTTTTTATTGCACGAAAACTATCTGAATGAAAAAGAAAAAAATTCCAACCAAAAAAAAAATTGAATGATTGATTGACTTTCACTTTGAGTTTAAATTTGATATTGAAGAATAAAATACAGATACCGATTATATCATGGCATCCAGTTCTTTGAGTCAGGAGAGTCTAGATCCAGAGGACTTTTCTTACAACACAAGAAAAAACAAAATCAGAGTTCCTGTAAGGTCTAGAGGTACCATTCACAAAACCGGAGAGTCATTCGACAAAGGAGGCGAACCAGAAGTATTTGACCCTGAAGACGCAGAACAACAGGGTGGAGGCCACGATTCGCCAACACGGTCACGTGCTAAAGATAAAGCTAGAAGATGCAACCATCACTTCAAGAAAAGCACATCGGCGAAAGAGAAACGAAAACTTCGAGAGAAAAGACGAAGCACAGGTGTTGTACACTTGCCTTCAACAGAGGTTAGTACTTGAACTTTTATTTTACGGTAAAAACATACTATTTTTCTGTTGATTTGCAATTTACTGAAGTAAACAAGATTATAATGGACATTTGAGGCACAGACATCATGGTTTCTGGTGTAGGTAGTTACAGTTTCACCACCAGGTGGCTCGTTCGGTTCAGATAGCATGGCCGGTATGGTAAGAAGTATTAGTGGGTCAATTCTCATATAACCCAATATGTATGATAGTTATTGCCATTTTCAAGGTAATGGTGACAAATTAAATGTGTTCATGTTATAAGGCTGTACCAGAACTTTACAACATCAGAATGAATGTATTTTAATTCAAATTAAAAGTAAAGTAATCCAGTAAAAGAAAATGTTTTCTGTCCAATATAAGATATTTCACTTTTTATGATTTTGTAACTGGGGATCTATGGGGAATCAACTCTAATTATGAGTCACATTTTCAAAGAAATTAATGCAATTTTCAAAACCATATTTCTAGATGTACTTTCACACACATGTAGATTTCAAATATGACATCACTTTGACTGCTGCACGATATCAACATGACTTGCTATAGCTTTTGAAATATACTGTAGCATAGCTAGGATGAGGCAAACGAGGCGGAGTCACTTTTTAACATCATTTGAGAAATACTCCTCTGTCAACTAATGGTAGAAAATTAAAATTTAGATTTAAAGTGGCGGCAAAGAAAGATTAAGAGATTTGGGAAACAAACTTCAAAAAGATTGGTAATTTGTCCTTAGGCTATAATTCTTATTTCATGATCTGAAAAAGAAGAATTGAGCTACCTGTTCAAATATGGAAGCTGTTGAATATGTAATACATGTATGCAGAGTTGCAGACATCTAAATACATTTGAATTGAAAAGGGAGACATCCATTTTTTCCATTATCAAATAAAGTTAGACTTGTCTCAATTAGACATGACATAGAATGTGATGTAAAACTATTTTGTAAAACTGGGAACTTTTTAAAGCTTTATTCTTAATCTCTGTTGCACCACTTAAGTATATAAAAACTGTTGATTTTCAACTATCATTCTCTTCATTTATGAGTTTCTTGGTTTCTGATCAATGACCTTTAGTATCATAATATTAGCTATTATATAGGTAAGGGAATGCCAAGGAAGAAAATTACTCATACAGTCAGGGGGGGAGATTTCCCAAAGATGCCCTATCATATTAGCACGTTCGAAAACAAATTTTATAAACAGGCCTCAATTTTCCGTTGAAATGGATCTCCAAATGTTCACTGTAGTTTTATGAGTATTCTCTACAAGTATGGATCGAGTAACTTCAATAGTATTACCGTAGGTTTGAAATGACGATGTTGAACTGATGTAAACGCCATTCTCACGATTTAAAATTTAACTCTGCGCATGCGCAGCACTGAGAGAGCATGTGCCCATGATTGTTCACGTGATCGAATCCTGCAATTTGATTGGAGATGATGCAAGAGATGATGTAATGGGGAATCCCCGAATACGATAGAATATGAAAGAATTATGGGAGCTACTCACTCCTCCTGTCATACAGTTGACGCAATGAGGTTGTCTCACTGTGAACAATTCTGTGTTCATTCAATCAACATTTTTGTGTAAAAATTTCAATATGCCTAATGTTGTTTAGTCTGACATATTTGTTAAACTATGACATTCATTAAGTCTTCATGTCAAAACTTTGCCTGTTAACCTGACAAGCCGACTTTTATGACATTCATTTAGATGTGATATGTTTTTAAAATGAACTCAAATGAACTAAATACATTTTATCATGTAAAATAGCAGTAAAATCATGTAGTTTGTACATGTTGTTCAATTTAGATTGAAATATGATAGAAAAACATTTAAACCTAGAGATAGGCTATATGAAATCTAGAAGTTGATTGTGTTCTGGGTTAATAATCTGTTCACGAGGCACTGTGACTTCATATATCTCAAGTTTAGCTAATTAATGATTTTCTGAAAAGGCAATACCTTGTCGATGACATCCTGGTTCGTTAGAATATCCGACAACTATCGCTGTCATATTATACCTGTGGTAAACCTAGATTAAAGTACCTAGCTGATGTTCCGGCATATCTCTACAAATTAGCCTAGGTGGATCAGGATTTAATATCAATTAGGGGTTAGGTGGGTGCAATAGGGAAAAATATTTGTAGCATTGATGAACAAAAAAACAGGTGTACATCACTGATAGCCAAAATTCTGAAGAAAGAAAAGTTTATTCGAGCACCTCTTAATGTGAACAATATTTCTCAGTGGCCAAAATGTGTTAATAAATGTTCCATTGACTAGGGTATTAAAAAGCCTTGAAATGTGAACACCTGTTTATCTGAACACTTTGGCTGGTTCCAATGACATTCAGTTTTACTGTAGATAACTCTTTGCCAAAATTCAGAACAAAGAATATAATCCAGCCATTTTTCCTATTGAAGAAATTACATAGACTAAGGTAGGAGTAAAGCACATTCCCTTAGGTGATATAAAAACCACAAGCTATGAATAATTTAAACGTTCATTCCATTCCTTTTTAACACTATACCAAATTTCTTAACAATAGAACTAAAAATAGATTAATGATTTTTCTTGTATGAATGTTTAATGATTGAGTGAGTTGCTAACTGTACAATGATTGGTAAGAATCTGATACTGTCGTTTAGCATCTTGGATTACCATTACGTTTTCGTTGACTAAAAATCAAACTGGAAGGCGAGTATGGCCGTTTGATAAATTCAATAGCCTCCAATTGGTATTTTCATATATTTATAGAAAGGTATTGAAAATGTTGACATTTCCTTACTAAATACACAATTCGAACATGATCATTGAACTTTGGGTCATGGCGATTAAAAAGCTTCTGTTAAAAGTTATATACAGATATTTATAAACGAACATCCAGACTGCGCAAAAACTCTAAAATCTGATTCTTGGATTCATATTGTTTGTCAAAAATCAGTGATTCTTTGTTATATAAGATATTCTTCAGAATGGCAAGATATAATTTCTCCAAGAATTATGTATTTTGTGACATTTCGAAACATTTGCCAGTTAAGGTCAAACTGTAGCATTCCATCAAACCGCCAGTATTTATTTTATTCTTGTTTTGTATTTCCTAAGTGAAATCATGTTTTTAGCTAAATATACTTCAACTTCTGGTATGTGATCTGCATACCCATGGGTAATAAGCGTGACTTTAGATAAAGTGTCATTATGAACGTGTTTTGAAACATAAACATATAAGGAAATGAATGACTTATTAGGCGATAACATGGAATATAACAGTATCACAAAAATAAGCTGCATCATTACCACATAAAAACTGCGTAAAAAATCTAGCAACTCAGGTAGCTATTGAGATTTTTAGAGAGCTGTGTTGATATATAAGTAGTACAGAATGACATTACATTTCTGATAACACATGGGTCAATTTAACCTATTCTGTTTTCAATGTTTTCGCTTGGAATCATTCTCAATCTACATCGTCTATTTTATCGCTAGGCTAGCCACCCATTACAAACAACTTTATTTTATCAAGCGCTGTAATGCGATTAAAGCCATTAAAATCTTGTGTTTTATGGTGTTTTATGGGCCCTCCTTTAAGCGTGCTTTCTCATGATTGAACTCTGGGTAATGATACACATGTCTATAGCTGGCTTTCATTGAGAGGATAGCTCAGATCTTTTCATCGGGTAAATTTTGTCAAAAACTTTGTAAGGAATTTGCTCATTACAGTAGAACCTGTATATCTGAAAACCTGGCTAATCCGAACACCTTCCAATCTGAACACTTTTTTTCGGTCCATTTTTTCCTTCCATTGACTCTCATGTTAAATAAAACTTGAAATGTGAACACCTCTCAATTTGAACAGTGAACTGTCATATTTGAAAATAAAAAAGTAACCTGTCTTACTTAACACTTTTCATAAGCTTTCACTTGTTTCATACAAAATTGCTCAAATATTGTTATGATATCAAAACTTTGGGAAAAAAACTTGAATGGTCTTGATTATAATATGCATTTCCAGCATGACTAGATTCATTTGAATCAAATTTTCAAATTTCTGAAATGCCGTAAAGCTATGTGGTCAAATGGACTATAAATATGTACCAAGAATGTGTTCACATTTCTTCAGAATCCGGAATCTCGCGAATGCAAAAACCTTGAAATGTGAACACCTCCTAAGCTCCTAAGGTCCCAATGGCGTTCGGATTAGACATGTTTTACTGTATTTATTAACCGAAGAATTTTGGTAGAATCTAGAGAATTTTTGTCTAGAAATTACTGATCCAAATCACATATCCTAAAAAAATAAATTATAAACAGAACCAATTTTCTGTTGACCGTGACATGGAGACTTGATAGGAAAAACAAGTAAAAGCAAATAAAATGCGACTGGATAAAGTGTTTGTATTTGTTGTCACTTTAAGAAAGTATTCACATATAACACAGGAGATCTCTTGACTTTTTTTTCATACATTAGATCGCCATTTATTCTGTTGCCAGCTTTCATCCATGGTTCACCATAAGGTTGCAATATATTTAGATCTTAGCAAGTATTTATAAAGTCTGTTCCAACTGGTTGGTGAGATATACTAACAAAAGTATCAAGTAAAGACTAGGTATTTATTGTATATGTTGTATGGTTACATTGAAATCAATAGGAAGATTAATTTGTTTGTCCAAATCAAATGTTTTATCAAAGAATGTTCCCAGTCCAGTAACTCCTATTATGTTTACTTAAAGGAAACGGTGCTTTGGTCAGGGAAGAGGTGTTATAGTCAAAGAAGAGGTGATATAATCAGAGAAGAGTCGCTTTGGTCAGGGGAGAGGTGTTTTAGTCAAGGAAAATGTGCCTTTGCAGGGAAGAGGTGTTATAGTTAAGAAAGAGGTGATGTGGTCAGGGAAGAGGTGTTATAGTCAAGGAAGAGGTGATATAGTCAAGGAAGAGGTGATATAGTCAAGGAAGAGGTGATATAGTCAAGGAAGAGG